TGATCGGAAGCAGAAACAATGTTTCTACTTTTAGAGTATGTTTAATACGATTTAGAAGTTTGTTTGATAACGTAAATTTGTTACAAGATTTTTAGAAATAAAAGCATAAAAGTATGTTTGGTAAAAAGTGTTGCAACTTTAAAATTTTGAATGATTAGTTAAAAATGTTATTTTAGATTTTTTTTTTTTTTGAACAGTTCTGTGCTACAGTGCGAACAAAAAAAAAACATCATGTTAATGCTTCCAATTTTGGGCTCAATTTTGAAAGCGTTTTGATACTATTCAAAAGCACATCAAATATTACCAAATATGCTTCGTGCTTTTAGTTCGCTACATTACACTAGCCAAACAGATAAAGCAAACTAAAAATAAATCAGAACATAAAGATGCTTTTATAAAACCAACAATTTTGTTATGAAAATACTAATGAGTTTTTTTTTTTTTTACATGACTCTAGTAACACTCCCATCAAGGTATGTCTTGACTATTATATTGTTGATTTGAGTGTTATTACATATTTAGGCAATATTTGATAACTCAATCTAACACTTGGTGCTAATTAATAATTAACAAATTAACTATTTTTTTAATGGATAGTACTTACCTAACCAATAGTAAGTCATCCGACAATAAAAAGTGATAAATAAAGAAATAAGACAAGATCACTAAATTATTTTATGAAAAAAAAAGAAAAGAAGTTATTGTCCTTATTTATCACTTTCTTCGTGTTATAATTAGTCTCTATGTGTGCATTTGTGACTCCACTACAACAAAAGGAATGACCTACTCATTATATAAGTATTGTTGTCCTTATCTTTAACTAAAAAAGTATTGTCCTTATCTTTAACTAAAAAAGTATTGTTGTCCTTATCTTTAACTAAATACAAAGGCAATTTAAATATCACAAAAAAAAATTAAGTGTTGTTTAAAATGGGTAAAATTTAAGTCAGGGTGACATTACTTATCACTAAAAGTTAAAATTTTAAAAATATATCAAAAAAATATTTATTTTTTAATTACGACTTACAAACTTCAATAGTTTAAAAGTCTATCTTTTAAAATTTTTAGTATCAAACATCACCTTTATTCTAATAAATTGAGTGGTCTATTTAATTGAGTGTGTTTGATGATGCATTTTGAATAGTACTTGTAAAAAAAAAGTGTTACTTAAAAAAGTTTAAAATTTCAAGTTACAATGATTTGACTTATGATTAAATTTTGAACACTTACATTCTAAAACAAATAAAAAATTATTCTTATTTTACGGTTACTGATTAAAACTGTAACACTTTAAATTCAAATTTTTAATTTTTTAATTTTATCAAACAACACCTATTGGATATGAAAGATCGAACACCTTGCCATACTCTCAAAAAAAGCTCGAACGACGTTCAACAAAAAGGTACTAGTAACCGAAACCGACACAGGTGAATGGAACCCAAAGAAGAAGGGAGAGGAAGGGCGGAGTTGGGAGAAGGCTTCATGGTTTGATTTGGTACGACGAAATAGTGGAAGGAAGAAAGGGGAAAGGGAAGGGGAAATAGAATAAAGACATGGAAGGGAGAGAATTACTCTTAAAGCCCACGACCAAAAGGGTAACCATCTTTTATTATTATTTTACATTTACATTATTCCATTAAGTACTATAGTCCTATTAATATTACTGAAATAATGGTAATATATATATATATATATATATATATATATATATATATATTTTCTCTCAAATTTTCATTCTTCTTATCAAATGAAACCTTAATTAGATAAAATCAAAAGTAAATAGTAAACTTGGTGACCAGGGGTGGACCTAAAACTTTAGGTAAGAGGGACAAGATTGAAATTTTGCAATAATTTTAGGTGGAGTATTAGCAATATTTTAGGAGTATATAATGAAAAAAAAAAAAAAAAAAAAAAAAAAAACATGGTATATTAGTAAAAATTCAAGGAGGCAATTGCCCCCCTCACTTGGTAACAGGTCCGTTCCTATTGGTGACCAACTTAAATATGAAAACATTGTTTATTTTAATGCATTTGTTTTTTTTTTTTAAACAAAAACTTCATTATACTTTAAACTAAGGTCTTGTTTGGATTGGTTTTCAAACGCTACTTTTGGCTTTATGGGCTTAGAAGCTATTATGAAGGGTGTTTGGATAGTTTTATTATAAGAACGTTTTGGAGAAACTGGGGACCCCAACTTTGGCAAAACGCTCTTCTAGATACATACGCGAAGCTGTTTATGGGTTTAATGAATCTTTCAATACGACAAGCGTACCATTTTCTTTTGGGCATTGAAAAAATAAAATTATAACATCTGTCATTATAAAAGACATCATATTATTCCTAAACCTAAGGACAACTCAAACGACAACTTCAGGAAGATCGTCACTTTCCTTCGAAGATCATCAGTTTAAGGATCTCTTTCGTTTCAGGCAAGTACTTTGTTGTATATGAATGATTGATTATATTTTGTATATGAATATTAGATTGAATGTATGGTGTGAAGTTTAGAGTGACCAAAATTTTGAACTAATTAATCGTACTTTTTTTCTTAACCAATTTTTTATTTATATATTAGAGAAAACTTTAATAATAATTAAAGTATCGAGAACAATTGTAATCTTTTACTTTACTGTATATATGAATGATTGATTATATTTTGTATATGAATGTTGGATTGAATATATAGTGTGAAGTTTGGAATGACCAAAATTTTGAACTAATTAATCATACTATTTTTTTTAACCCATTTTTTTATTTATGCGCTAATCGATCACGTGAATGTTGAATCATTCACGTATGAACATTGTTGTATGGATACATGTACATATATATATATGTATGAACACTTAAACAACCATTTTGTATGAATAACCATTTTCCCTGAGATATGGATACATATACATGATATACAACATTATATATAACATTTGTTATAACTATGCTTTTTATACTATGTTTGAAGTATGAGTATACTTTTTATATTATGCTTGAGATATTGAAGAAAACTTTAATAATAATTAAAGCATCTAGTCCAATGCTAATATGTGAGTAATCACCCCCCATTATTTATTAATTTCTATTCCATTTGTAAATTAGATGGAGGTTGAGGGAGAAAAAGTTAAAACAAAAGCAGTATGAGAATCCACCACACACCCGATTTTTGTTGATCTTGTTGTACAACAAGTGAGAGCTGGTAATAGAAATGGAACACACTTGAACAAAAAGGGTTGAAAGAATTTTATTGGGAATTTTAATAAGTTCACCAACAAAAACTATGAAAGGAAACAACTAAAAAAATCATTAGGATAAATGTAAGAAAAGATTGGCAGCTCTGGGAGGCATTATTAAGAGAAGAGACTGGAATTGGGTCGGATACTGAAAGACAAACTATAGATGCTTCAAATGATTGGTGGGAGACAAAGTTACAAGTATGTATATGTGTATATATTTTTCATTTTTTAACAGTAAATTTAATGGTAATTTTTATTTTCTAACTTCTAAATTAAAAAGTGCAGAAGTATATAGATGCGGCCAAATTTCGTATGAAGGGTCTAGAGCACTCATTTAAGCTAGATGACTTGTTTCGAGATGTGACCGCCACTGGAGCTAAGTCTTGGGCGCCTACTTCTGAAACCATGCCTCCTTTGTATAATCAATCACTTACCATTGAGATAATGTTGATGAGGGAGAACATCCTGAAGAGAGTGAACATGAGGAGACAGACTTTTGGTGCGTGGAAGGCAAAATGGAGAAGCTTACAAAATATGCCTAATTTTAAGTTTGATAAGCAAGTTGTCATTGTTAGTGCTTCAATGGCTCTCCATAATTTTATAAGGAGGGAGGCTATTGCTGATATAGAATTTCAAACATATGGAAAAAATGATTATGTATTCGATGAGGAAATTGGCTAATTGGATATTTCGTTCACAAGTAATGATATTACTGAGATGGGTGTTATCCGGATAGAATTGCTACAGAGCTAATGCTTAGATGAATATTTGATATTGTTAAATTAATGATGAGATGACTGTGATCCGAGATAGAATTGCTACGAAACTCATGATTGGATAAATATTTTGTTAGTTGATGTTATGACATTTTGTATTATTTGATTATATTGAATGGGTTGCTATTTTGTTAGTTGATGCTTAATACAATGTAATATTTTATATACGGCATGAATTATTTAATTATATTGAATGAGTTGTTTGTATATGTCATGTTAGATTATTTGATTATGTTACCAAACAATCCAAAAAATACTCAATTCAGGGGCAAAATAATTATTTTAGCATTAGAAGAGCTTCAGCAAATGATTTGCCAAATATACATTAAAAACTATTCTGGCCTTAAAAGCTCTTCTAAAATACAATTTCAAACAGTGACAGATAAACTAAATAGAAGTGATAGTTTCTACTTCTCTTATTCTTCTGCTTAAAAATAAAAACAAAAGTTATGCCAAACAAGCCCTAATCCCTAACAAATTTGACTTTCAACTCCTAAATTAACTTTGAACCTAATACCATACAAACTTGAATAGAGACTGATGGACCTTTTTCACAAAAAAAAAAAAAAAAAACACATTTTTTCTTGTCTTTTTAACATAAATGTCAATTGTACTTTTAATATTTAATGTTTTATTAGTTATGATTTAGGAACACTTATGTCATTTCACTTGAAAAGTGAGGTGCAATTGATAAAAAAAAATGAGTGCATATTTGGTATCTAATTACAATGACAATTTCTAGTTAATAACGTTTGAATTTCAACTCTCACGCGGTGTTTGGTAGAGTATCACATCTTTTTACTTAATTAGTTGTTTATTCTAATAACACAGCTTGTATGAAAGGATAAAATGGACAAATCATAGAACAACCTTTTCCTCTCCTCCTAATTTCCTTTCTAAACCAACCAGGAGCTTAAATCCCAAAGTTAAAATTTGTCCAAACAGTACTACTATTTTAGTAATAAAACCTCCCCATATATATATATATTTTAATCCTAGCCGTTACGTCATTCATTTGCCTAGATCTTATATTTATAGCAGCTCTCACCATACGTGCTCTCTGTTTGGGAAATTAAATTCTGTGTGAGAAAGCCAAAGTTCCGAGAGTCTTATTCAACGGCGAGTTTGTCAACTTGTACCGATGCATAGTCGGTCTTTGAAGATTCATAGTAAAAGGTATGGTTTTAGGGTTTTTTAACAAAAATTATTTGGCTTTTGGATAACGCTTATCTGTATCCATTGATGTTCGCAAAATTGAAATTAATTCATTCGTGGTATGTTTGGCAATCTCTTGGCTTTTTTCATATGTGGAATCCCAGCTGTGCTTTGCTTGTTAATTGAAAATTTGCCTTTATGCTACAGTGGAGTGGTGTGTGGTTCGAAACCCCAAATTGATAAACACAAATTGATTCATTCTCATCTATTCAAGGTCAGTAAGCAGCTGAATTTGTTTGTTCATTTGAAATTCCTCGATTGAGGTGCTTATTTTATGTTATATTGGTTCTAGATTTTACTTCATTCCCTGCTATAAATAGTTGAATGTGTGACTTTCATTTATGGGTAGTGCAGGGTTGTGCTTCTTCAATTGAGAAAGCTAGGCTTTTGTTGTTGAGTTGTGTTGAGTTGTTCTTTCAATTGGACACACTTTTTTGATAGAAGTGTGGTTGTGTTGGAGAGATTTGGGCTTCAAAAGTGAGGGTGAATTGTTTACATGGGGAGGGATTGTCAACCTATAATAATAGTTATGGAGGAATGTTTATTTGAAGAAAATCTTACCTTTATTATATAGCTGGTTGAGCATTCTTTTTCAATAGTTGAAAATGGAATATCCATTTTCTTCTCAAGAAAAGGATATTAGTTATTGGAATTCTCCCACAGCTCAGATGGAGGGTGTGTCATCACTAGATGCTGCTTCTTCTGAAGATCCTTTCAACAACATTGCAGAGTTGATGAATTTCGATACAGGATGGTGCAGTACTCCTTCAGAACAGGTGTTTTCGTGTTATGCCACTCCACCTCTAATATCAATGCCCACAAATCAGGTAACTCAAGATCCATTCAACTCTTTCAAGTCTAATAGCATGGAAGGTTATTATAGTGGAGAGGGGATGAAGGTTCAGTCAACTCCTGCACAATTTGTTCTTCCATCAGATTGTGCTAATGGAGATGACTCAACTTCTAATAGAGGTAATGGTTCTCTACAGCAAAATAATATTTCACCTCGGGGATATTCTAAGATCTCTAGGCCACTGACTGAATCAGCCAGGGGATATTCTAAGATCCCCAGACCAATTTCTGAATCACTTACAGAAAAGATGCTGAGAGCGCTTTCTTTGTTTAAAGAGTCATGTGAAGGGGGCATTTTGGCCCAAATTTGGATGCCTATTAGGTATAGTGATCAGTATATTTTAAGCACGTGTGAGCAACCGTATTTGCTTGATCAGATGCTTGAAGGATATCGTGATGTGTCGAGGACATTTGCTTTCTCTGCAGAATTAAAATCAAGTTTATTCCCCGGCCTTCCTGGCCGTGTATTTATCTCAAAAGTTCCGGAGTGGACCTCAAATTTAATGTACTACAATAAAAGCGAATACTTACGTGTGGAATATGCAGCTACCCATCAAGTTCGTGGATCTATTGCTTTACCAATTTTCGAGAGTGATTCTCTTGAAGTGTCAGACATGCCATGTTGTGCTGTACTCGAACTTGTCACCACAAAAGAAAAACATAATTTTGACGCAGAGATAGATAATGTGTGTCGTTCTCTCCAGGTTAGATTTTGTTTTTCGTAACCCTCCATTACTTTTGCTTCTACAATTTTCTTTCTATTATGTATACCTGTTTTTCAAAATAAAAAGGAAAAATATTAAAAAGACTGAAAAAAAAAAAATTATACAAACGGTTTAATCTTATATATGCTTTTTTTTTTTTTTTAACTATTATTAATCCTTATGGTTTCAGGCGGTAAATTTAAGGAGTAATACACCCCCTCGACTTTATAACCAGGTACAATTCAAAAAAATTTATAAAATATACTGTTTCATGTATTAGAATTTCATATCATTTTTTTTTTAATGTGATGATGTGCTATTTATTGAGTATATTTAAAAAAAAATTAAACTTTTTATTCATGTATTAGAATTTTATTTTGATCTTTAATAAATATCATGTGTTATTTTACAGTGTCTTTCAAAGAATCAGAGGGCTGCGTTAGCTGACATAACTGATGTTTTACGGGTGGTATGTCATGCACATAAATTACCCCTTGCTCTAACATGGCTACCTTGTAGTTACTCTGAGGGAGCTAGTGATGAAATTAGCAGGGTGCGCATCAAAAGTTGTAATACAAGCTCAATTGAGAAATGTGTATTATGTATTGAGAATACAGCTTGTTACGTGAACGATAGCAATATGTATGGATTTGTGCATGCATGTGCTGATCACTTTCTGGAGCAAGGTCAAGGGGTAGCTGGAAAAGCTTTACAATCCAATATCCCCTTCTTCTCATCTGATGTAAAAGGATATGACATTAGTGAGTATCCACTTGTTCATCACGCACGCAAGGTTGGATTGAATGCTGCAGTTGCGATCAGATTAAGGAGCATTTACACGGCTGCTGATGACTATATATTAGAGTTCTTTCTCCCTGTCCATATGAAAGGGAGTGTAGAACAACAACTTTTATTGAACAATCTTTCTGCTACCATGCAGAGGATTTCCAAGGGTATGAGAAGAGTTTCAGATTCAGAATTAGCTGGGACAGAGGGTTCGAATATTGGATTTCAGGAGCTACCAATAGATTTATCAGGGAGAAGTTGTCAAGCTAATTTAAATTCTATTAACAGGGTGCCTGATGTATATGATTCAAGAAATGTTGGAATAACAGCAGATAATTCTAGTCAACAGGTAAATCATAAACCTATCTGGTAATAATTGATTCTTGTTTCGTAATAATAAATTATTTGCATATGCATCAAATTAGTATTATGTCATATTTCTCTTTTATAAAAAATTTAGTGTAATCTAATGGATCGATGGTTACCTTTTTCCTCGTGTATCATTTAGTTGAATCTTCAATGAATTATTAGCATTAGTTCTTCTTTTTCACTTGACAATCTGTAGATACATCTTTTTTATCACTAGAATTGTTACAATATGAGTGGTTAAACTTGACTAGTATGGAAATGACCTTCTACCCTATTTATAAGCCACCACTTACTTGGGCAATGGCCCATATATAAACAAATTGACAAATAAGATTGAGATGCTCAAGATTTCTCTTTTAGGTTTCTTAAAGAATATTGAGCAACTCCCTCAAAAAAATATCTTAAATATTTTATATATGTACCACACTCCACATTATTCAGAAACATTCTATACAACACTACAAAACTCTATCCTACTGGTGATGTACTAATATGCCATATGGAACTCTTTAAAAGGGTATGTGGGGGCAACTAGTGGTTGTGTAACCTGGTTAAAACATGAGAATGAGCTTTTCCAATTTATATCATATATTTTTTATTAGGTAAGAAATATTATTATCTTTTAAGTAGATAATTATGCCATTTTTATTATTACCATCTAAATCCAATTATTAGAATAAGGAAAGGAAAATAAGAAAATTCATTGGATGTCATCTATAAGTTTCTAACATATGAATATGATCAGATTCTTATTTATAAGGTCTATTTTCTAAGTTGATACTTGCTTTTTGAATGTTTTTAGTGCATTATTCCAATTAGCTTATACAATTTGACTAACAATTTGTTAATTATATTTTAGACAAGAAGTGGATCAAAGAGACGGATTGAGAAAAAGCGAGGTATGACCGAGAAGAATGTTAGCTTAAGTGTTCTTCAGCAATACTTTTCTGGGAGTCTTAAGGATGCTGCTAAAAGCATTGGTGGTAAGACTATATTCATTGTGAGCATCAGGTTACACCAAGCATACATCCTCCTAACTTTTAGGTCAAAGCGCAAATTATTATGTTCCTAAAAATTATTCATTAAATGGTTATTTTTTCATTTTATAATATCATATGGTTTCTTCTAGACGAATTTTGAATGGGGTACTAGCTAACATTCCCGGATGTATCCTACTTTTTGCTTAGACTTTCAGATATTATAATTTGATTCTCTGATGCTCTGTGTAACCCACACCTTCTTGTTGTTGCTAGTATGAACATAGGGCTAACCATTATATTCAACTGCTTTGAATGAAAAAGAAAAACAAAAAGAGAGAAAAGGGTAGTCTTGATCTTATTGTGTGCGTGGGTGAGTGGGGAACGCATGAGATGACATTGAAAATCGACAGTTAATAATATATCGATATCTCGTTAAGAAAAAAAGTTGAATATGTTATCAAAAACTTTATGGAATGTTTCTTATACTAAACCCTTTCATTAAAATCCCTAACAATTTGGTCAGGTATGGTAGATATTTTTGCAAATTGTTTCAAAATGATAACATGGTTTTTACTTTCTTGTCTGCTTGTTTGTAGTTTGCCCTACTACCTTAAAGAGGATATGCAGACAACATGGAATCGCAAGATGGCCATCGCGCAAGTTACACAAGGTGAAACGATCTTTAAAGAAAATACAAACTGTGCTCGACTCTGTTCATGGTATGGAAGGAGGATTGAAATTTGACACCGCTACTGGGAGTGTCATTGCATCAGGTTCCATCATTCAAGATTTTGATGCTAACAAAATTTCTCCTCTCAAAAAGCTTGAAGCAGTTGCAAAAGATGCAAGCGGTTCAACATTTTGTTGCGATAAATCTAACATCCCTCCTACTGATTGTTTTGATATCATTAAATCAGTTGCACTAGATGATGGGCGTGGCGATGGGGTCATTGAGCACAAGCAGCCCACTTCTTCGGGCATGACCGACTCTGGCTCAATGATGAGTGGAAGTTCATCAAGCTCTCCCAACTTTGTTGAACGGAGTTACCCGAAAATCACAAGCTTTGGAGATTGTGGATCAAAAATTACTGTCAAGGCAACTTACAGGGAAGATACAATACGGTTCAAGTTTGAGCCTTCTGCAGGGTGTTTGCACCTATACGAAGAAGTTTCAAAGAGGTTCAAAATACTAATAGGGACATTCCAGCTCAAGTATCTAGATGATGAAGAAGAATGGGTGATGTTGGCGAATGATTCCGACTTGCAGGAGTGTCTTGAAATATTGGATTGTGTAGGCACCCGTGTTGTGAAGTTTGCTGTTCGTGATGTCCCTTGTGCCATTGGGAGCTCTGGCAGTAGCAATTGCTTCTTGGCAGGAGGCTGGCGATAGTCAATGGTATGACATCTTTGGTTTGGCACCGATGTACTGTTAGATCGTTTAGGGTCCTTGGTAGGTAGTTTACTCCATAATAGCTGATGTAGTTCTGTCATGGTTAGGGTTGGCTTTTCTTTTCATCGATTTTGCCAGTGTCACTTGTTATATAGTTCTGTAAATACTAGTAGTAGTAATGAAGGTTGTAGTTTTGTAAGGAATACTGTACTGTCTTTGCAGTGCCCTACTGCAGACTGTATAGTACTCCACATATGTTTATATAAGCAAATAGAGTTTTGAAGCATTTGGCTGTTGAATTTCTGCTTTCATGCTACTAGTATCTGAATTTTACTCTGCTAATTCATGGCGGCGTTTTTACATCCCATTCCATAAATTTGTTTCATTTCATATATATCTACTCATTAGTTGCACTTCTACACTACAACTAATGAGTAGTGACCTATATTTGTACATCTATTCACATTGGATAGTGGTTTCACAAGATCAGTGCAGCTCTCATATCCATTAGTTTTTAGATTTATATATATATTGCAATAAACAGTTTTTAGATTTTTTTTTTTTCAATGCTCTATGCACCATTTTCTTTTGTTAATGATTTTGGATTCTAGGAGTCCATTTGATGCATTTCAGGCAATAAAAATACTGCAACATCCAAATTAACATCTTATTTTGAGTTGTTTTGTATCTTTAAAAGCTATTCTTTCTGCCAAACAGAGTATAGTTAAGTTCAAGAGTTTAGATTCACTGTTGTTTTCTATGGAAGTCATTGAACATTCAGGTTGGTGCAAGTGGCTATGGAGTATGGTACTATAAGTCTAATGGTTCTATCCATGGTTTGCAGGGGCATAAAATCATTGTATTGAATGTGGATATGGATGGAGGGTTGTGTTTGTTTAATCCTAGATTTTAAACAAATGGGCTGATTTTTTCTCTTGTGAACAGATTATTCCTTCACCAGTTCACCTAATGAATTTACAAATTGTGGAATATAAATGCTTAAATATGTGGTTGTGGTCCAAAGAGTGAAATAAAACAAAATAAAAGACAGTAAAGAATAAGAATATTATTATTTTCAGTTTATTTGTAGTTCATTTCTACTATCTTAATCCATCTTAGATTAAGTGATATTATAACACAACTATTTTTTTTCTTCTTTCTTTTATTGGACCAAATCGGTAGATAATGGGATCTTGAAGTACTCAATTCTTCCATTTAAGTTATTAATGCCTAATATGTACTAGTATATTTCTATTTAAGTTCTAAATCACTCAATTTTTCATTTATCCTTACCAAATAAAGGTAAAGTGTTCCCAATTATGAATTTCTATTCTAAAATTGATATGTGATACGTTGTTTTCTATGTTCTTTTATGTTTTAGTTAACTAGTGAATATTATATTATAAATTATAATTATAATTAATTTAATTAAAGTTTAATTCCAAAAATCTTTTGTAAATTTTACTACAATCATTTTTAATATACAAAAATTAAAAATTCCATTATTATTATTTTTTTTTACGGTAAATAACATTTTTATTTTTATTGAAACAATTTGAATAAAATTTTATCCTTTTGAAAAATAGACTAATTAATTTGAAAATGAGAAAAAAATCGATTTCTAATAGAAAAAATTTAGCCATGTATAAATAGTCAATTAGTAAGGGTATAAGTGAAAAGTTGACTGGTTTAGAACTTAATACGCAAAAATAAATATCTAGTGATAATTTTGCCTTATATATTTTAAGGTGTTACCCACAATTTTCTCGTCTAGTTATACTGTTTAAAAATTGCAATTAAATTATGTAGAAGCAGAAAGAAAATTATGGTTATTGCACACGTTATGGTGCGGTACATTACCATCAAAGTACTTACATATCATGCACGCTGATTACAAAATGATGAAAAAGTTTAAATTATCTAATATAGTTAAGTCACACGGAACTAATGTGGTAGCATGAGGAAAAATGCGGGAGAGTCAATGTCTAAAATATTTTGAGAGCTGGAGAGCTGTATATATTATATGTATATATACTTATCTTACATAAGCTAAGATTATATCAATTTACTAAATATTATTTTTTGTCCAATTTTTTTTAAAAAAATAATACAAAATGCCTAATGTATGGGCATTAGTATGTTTCTTTAAGTAACACAAAATGCCTAAAATATTGTTTTTTATATATACTATAAGTAACAACTAAAGTAATGCTTATGCTTGGAAGCGCCGGTTTGAATTTGGAATTAAAAAATAATAATAATAATTAAAATTTTGAACTAAATAAATTTTTTTTTTTTTTTTTTTTTTTAAGTTTAAAATCAGAGTTAAACAGTTATGCATTTCACACGCACACGCACATGGTGATAGTCACCCAAGTCAAGTTCGTCAACCTCCAGACAGATAGTCAGAAACCAGTCACACTTTGTTGAAAATTGAATGCTCAACCATTTGAAAAAATCAACCATAAATCTCTATCTCACAACGTTACCATTACACCACACATTTCTCTATTAACAGTACCTTTCACGGCCATGATTGGCGTCAATTTAGGAAAAGCGACCTTAGTAGCAACCATTCTGGCCGGAGTCCTCGTCGGAGTTCTACCGAGATCCGTGGTGGGTCAGAACTGCGGTTGTCTGGCGGACTTGTGTTGTAGTAAGTATGGGTATTGTGGCACAGGCACCGACTATTGTGGCACAGGTTGCCAACAGGGACCATGTTACAATGTCTCGGTCAGTGATATTGTAACAGAGGTATTCTTTGATGGAATAATCGGTCAAGCCAGTGAAAATTGTGCAGGGAGGAATTTCTACACGCGAGATGGATTTCTTAAGGCCGTCCACGCTTTTTCTCAATTCGGCCGGGTTGGCTCGGTCGATGATTCTAAGCGGGAGATTGCAGCTTTCTTTGCGCATACCACCCATGAGACTGGCAGTAAGTTCTCCAAATCTCTCTCTTCTCTTTTATTCAACTTTGGAAATTTTTTTTAAAAAACTTTGGGTTCATAGTTGGTTTGAAAATTTTCAACACAAATGGAAGACCTTGTTTTATTCTTGGATGCAAAGTCTATAAATTGATTTTGGTAGAGATCCGAATAATTGTTAATTAGGATGCCCTCGGAGACTTTCTTATGCCTTTTTGACGAAAATGTACCCTAGAATAATAAAAATCTCCTTTTAGGTTTAAGGACATTACTTACTGATATAGTTGGTAGAGTCTAGTTTGGAGGGTACCTTCTCACCTTTTGAAGGAAACCATTGAGGGTAAATAATTTATAAAGTACAAAATTTATCTTAACGTGTGTTTTGTATTATGAGTTGCATTATGCTAAATTGTTGTGGAAGTTTGTATTAAAAATAAGGTGATTAGGTTTTACTTGTTCCTTTATTCAATTTTTACTTATTTTAGTTTTATCGAAATAAAATTAAAATCAAATCAACAAAGTAATAATAAAGTGGAAATAAAGTAAATAAAATTTGAGAAATGACATTCGGATTTTTGTTCGTAGAAACCTTGTTGGAAGAAATCCAACCAACTGTGATGAAAACCAAGGAGACTTTCGCAGCCTTGAGCGAAACGATTCACTATATTCGAAGAAAAATAAAATAGACCCTGATTCAGGCTCACACTCATTGGGCTCTACCAAGAACTAGTTGTTAAACATCTAGGTTTACTCCTCAATCCTTATAGAAGGGTGGCGGTTAAATTACGAACACTCCGCGAATGCTCTGATCCCTTCGTAACTCGATCGCTTCCTCATTTTCTTTAAATCTAAATTGATGAAGACAAATAGAAACCCTGATTTTTCTGAATGAAATTGATTGAATCTTCAATATGCTTGAACTCCGATTAGATAGAGAGTAGCACCATAAGAACACTCTTGTAATAGTGTGTATTATCAATTATATAAAAATATAAGAATTATGAACGTGATTTTCTATAGAAAAATACTCTTAGAAACCTCTCAATAGTAAAAATATTTTTCCATTTTAAAACTCTAATTAATCATGAGAGAAAGAGAGTTTATATAGACTTAGAATCCTATGAGTAAAACTAGCTTTTAAAATCGTGCAAGGACTGCCCTACAAGTTTGGGTAAAAACGGGAAACTCACATTTAGGCAAGTGAAACCGGTTCTACTTTTCCTGAGACCTGTTTTTCATGCAAAAGTGCAATAGATCGGATTTACAAGTGCAACGGGTTGGAAATCATCAAAGTGCAACTGGTTGGACTTTGTTGAAAATTGATTAAGCTCTCTACCCAATTTAAAAATACTCACAAATGTTCCTCACTCACTTCCCCGTCTAAGTGATGTTCTCATCGAATTGTGTGCTCGCATGTTGCAACACGAGACTCAAAAGTAAAACAAAAATTACAACTAGATCGAATAAGTTTTGACACCAAATTTACTAATTACAAAATTTATATCCCGCATATGGTTTCACCAATCAAGATTTTCCAATTAAAAATATAGATATATAGTTTCCACTAAAACAATATAATTATTTTTAGGACAAAAATAAAATCACACCTTCTCTTCACTCCGTCCAAACAATATAATAATTGTTCAAAGTTCAAACTTCCATTGAATTCAAATACCATGATTATAAAAAAAATAACCCCATTGATAAACTTTTATTTTAAAACATTAATATAACAAGCATATTAAATCTTTTGTTTGAGCAGATTTTTGTTACATTGAAGAGGTTGATGGTGCCTCTAGGGACTACTGTCAAGAAACAAATACACAGTATCCATGCACACCCAACAAGAGTTACTATGGCCGAGGTCCTCTTCAGCTATCATGGAACTACAATTACGGTTCAGCCGGAAGAGCTATCGGGTTTGATGGACTAAACAACCCTGACATTGTGGCCACAGACGTCGTGGTGTCATTCAAGACGGCCTTGTGGTTTTGGATGAAAAATGCTCACTCGGCCATAACATCTGGCCAAGGGTTCGGGGCAACAATCCGTGCCATCAATGGTGCTCTTGAATGCAATGGTGCAAACCCTAGCGTTGTTGCTGCTCATGTGGAGTATTACATAGAATATTGCAACCAACTTGGTGTTGCACCCGGTGATAATCTCTCTTGCAACAGCGTTGCTGTACCGCGGTATTCTACAATGTTTACCTTAACATGTGGAGCTTATTCTAACTGACATTTATTTCAAGTTATTTGCACAATATCTACATTTAGCTTGTGTTGCCACTTAAAGTGATACTTATCTCCGGTTGAACAATTTTCCATTTTCGATTGGGAGTTTTCAAACTTCTTCAACGAGTTATTTGTACAATCAAAAAATTAATTTGTCACAAAATGTTTTAAATAAAATTTAAAAAAAAAAAAAAAACGAAAGAAAAAGACAAGAAGATAATGGGAAAAAAAGAGTTTATATAAAAAATATTGTATTTAATTATATCACCTTTTTTTTTAACTAAAAAAAAAAAAAAAAAAAAAAATCTTCCAATTTACAGTAAGAAAAATAAGTGAAAACATTTTTTTCTTTCTTTTATATTTGAACACTTTTCTAAAATAGACAAACATCACCAAACATGTTTTCACCACTTGTATCTGTTTATCACCGATCTGACAACAAAAACACAAAAGAAAAACGGTTGCCAAACAGGCCATTACTGATAATAACCTCCTATTTTCAATTGGGAGTTTTCAAACTTCTTCAACGAGTAATTTGTACAATCAAAAACTAGTAATCAGATTAGATTAGTGAATTACCAAAGCAGATCGCATAACCTGTAAAATAAAGCACAAACCAAAATCACATATTCAGAAAGTGTGTGTGTGTGTGTGTGTAAAGTCTTGTACTCTTGTTCCCAGATTCTAGTTTATGTGAATATAAAATCTGTTGACCACCAGTGCAACCTAATCTATAGATGAATGCACCACCAACCATGAAAAGTTACCTCCAACTTGAAAATGCTGGTATGACCCAAGTCACACTTCTCTGGTAGTAGAACATATGCAAGTCCATCAGGACAGGATCCAAAACTTGACAAATCAAGAATAAATAACCCCCAAAAAAAACAGCTGCTATACATGAGAAAGGACACTCGAAATATACATGTAATCTGGCCATATTAAATTTCCAGAAGCTCCCCATTTAAAACCAGCCAATTCAGCTAAATCTCTCGGTACAACAATGTACTGAAAACGAAAAAAGAAAAAATTGGTACAAGGAATTCCAACCCACCACGACGACAACCTGCATCATAACATGACATGAAGACATCAGCCATTCACTCCAAGACTACAGAGACATTCAATCAACAAACAGATGGAAACTAACTCTCAGAGCACTATTTGAGAAAGCTATGCACTGACAAAATATAACCCAAGCAATTCTTTTTTTATTTTTTCTGAAAATCACGTTTTAGTTGCCCAGCATGTTGATTGCCATTATTAGATGACCAAGTTTTTGAATGGCTAGAAGTATGTCAAGTGGACATGGAATTGTTGCACATTCTAAAAAGTAAAAGCCGACTGTGGAAGAAATACTCCGTTTTCATTTGAACTGGCTACTTTGGCAAAACAAAACCTAATAGCCAGTTAATAGCATCAATTGCACTTGCTGCAGTCATAGCTTGGTCAGTAGGAAGGAAGATGGAGGAACAAAAGGAGGGTAGGTCTTTCCTTCATTTGGTAGAGGGCGAAATGGAAGGAAAGGATGGGAGGACGAAAGACCCTTCTACATGGGACCGGACCACAATATCTCTCTTCCTCCCAAAATTGGGAGGAGATAAGGGCAGCATCCCACCATTTCTTCATATCTGTAACTCTTTTTAACTATGAAATGGTATAATACCTTCCCTTATTTTTTCTACTCAACCAAACAAATTAAGCAAAACACTTCTTCCTTCCCCCAAGGGTACCTTGTCCATCTCTCATTCCTTCCCTTTATTCCAATTTTCCATCCTTCTACCAAGCAGAGCACTACTGTGTTAAAAAAACCTGCCTTAGTCTCATTTTATGTTCATGTTTGTTGTGTTTATTATCACGAATTTTTTGGCAAAAATACTCAAACTACAGCTGACACTGACAGAAGCTAGTAATTTCACTAGGCAAAAGCCGCAAAATGCGCACCAGAATGTCCCAAAGTCTCCGATGTTGGTAGTGCAGGCAATGACATCTCTGCAAATTTAAGCACAAATCAGGTTATGGATGTTAAATTACAAAATATCATATTATACTTCTATCATTAAATACTGGATCTACTAGAACTAAGCAAAAGAAATAGACACGCTCTTCTTTATCAATTACCAGGAGCACAAAGAGATAAGGATGAAAAAGAGGACGATGAAGGCCATGGAGCTGCAATATTGTCGCTCAAGTCACACGTAAAGCTGAAGCCTGTTGAATTGTCAAATATCACATCTGAAGGCAAGCTACGAAGTAAACACCCTGCATTTAAAAGAAAACCAATATTTCAGTGCTTTGCTAATTATTTTCTTAATAATCTCAAACAGACATTGTTCTCTAAATCTCTTTATGGAATCAAACAAGGTATATTATAAGTATTTACAACAGATATTGTCTACACTCTACAGTACAGTAGTCATATACATCTGCACGCTACTTTGAACGTCAACTTCAGTCTATTTGGTTTCCATTTCAGTTTTAGGATAAATGGGAAGCATATGAAACACCTAAATTCCCAAGATACATTGGGTGCCCGTTCGGTACCCAACAAGATAGATATGTTATTGTTTTCTTTTATTCTTTCTCTAAAGAAGACAATATGTGAGATTTAATGACCATGAAAGTGAAAACATCGAGATCGACCCGTTTGAAACGACATTTTGAGCACCTAGATTCGAATAGGTTATCAAAATGTCGTCTCAAACAGGTCGATCTCGAAGTTTTCGCTCATACTAAAGTAATATTAGTCTTAGGGCACATCAAATAAGATTCCTCAAATGAATTCGTTTTCTGCAGATACACCATGGTTTTCTATACGCAGGTACACAAAAAATTGATATTAGCAATATACTATGAACCCACTTGAATTCCGTATGTTCTTCATGTAGCATTCAGGAGTGTCTCAATCAATTCATTCAAAATCTGAGAGAAATGGGCTGCGGATTCGAACTCCTATTGTGGGAAGAGAAGTGAAAATGCTATTTTGGCAGCCCCGATAAAATCCCCCTTAAGATTACTTGCCAGGTTTCATAGTATTGGATCCATTGGATAGGGTAGCATCAGTCGAAAGCTAAGATGATGAAAACATCCGATCCACCTCATAATATTGGATAGTTCAAAAATAATTACAATAATGCATTTACATAGAAGTCCAACGGTAAAAAGCAAAAGATCTTTAAATTTAAAAATAAATAAATAAATAAATAAAAAGCTATACTGAGTGCACCACCCATGAGCCCTCTGCCCTTTGGTACTTGACCATGATTGTGTGAAATTCCATATAAAAAATTCATTGAGAGTAGACCGCACACGGGTATTACCCAGTGGCCTAGTCGATAGAGTGTCCAACTCTCCGAGCAGGTGTACCCATGTTCCAGTCTCCCCTCCCCTAGTTTGGCAGGATAAAAACTAAAATAAATAAATAAAGAGAGTAGACCGCACGCTTTATTCGAACTATAGATTCTCTTTCTTTTGACCAAATTGAAGTTTTACCTTTGACTAGCTCATATGATTTTACTATAAAGTATTTTTTATGTTATGCCCACTTTAATACGAGCAACGTGATAATATAATTTGAGACCTTGAGGTTTGACAAAATTAAACCACCTCCCCTATAGTGGAAATGAGAACTTGGATGAGTGGAGTGACTAGAAGAGATAGAATCCCTAATGAAAGTGTGAGAAAAATTAGTTGTAGCACCCATTGGTGACAAGATTAGAGAGAGTAGATTTAGATTATTTGGACAAATACATTGGGGACCTAGAGACGCGCCGGTCAAACAAGGAAGGATAGTTGTAATAGGTAAGAGACAGAGAGGGCAAACATAAGTAATATGAGATGAGGTTATTAAAAATGACTTTAAAAAGTTAAATATAGTAGGTTTAATGGCATGTAATAAAAAAGATTGAAGAGAGAGAACTCATGTGGCCGAACCCATTCATATAAGATAAAGACAAGGATGATGATGATTATGATGATACAAACCTCCCCTATAATTTAAAAAATTTATCTGTACCTCCCCTGAAAATGAAACTAGGTAAGTTGGTAACATATATCTCCTTCGTTTAACAGTCAATATTGGTCAAAGATACTTATCAAAAATATATATATATTGGTCAGAGATGGTAACCATTGACGGAAAATGACTACGTCATGCTATAAAAAATGTTTAAATTCCAGTATTGCCCTTATATTGCATTTTAATACATTTTTAACCTCACTAACTGATATTGAATGACATTATTACCCTCAATTGTGTTTTATAAAATGACAGAAATGTCCCGTCTGAATCATTACAATATAACCATATGTAGCCAAAACTGAAGATGATCTCCTTCCTCTCTCATTTCTTGCTCTCTCCTTCTCACCAATGGGTTGCGCCAGGGACCTAAGGATTAAGGTCAGCCCATTAATGGTGATCATATTCAGTCTACCTTATTAGCATCTTCTTCCTTGCGGGCTACTTCTCACTGCCCATTACACGAAGATTTATCCTTGGAGCCAACAAGGTAGGCAATGGATGTGTGGGCGGTGGGTGACAGTGCGTGGTCTTCACTCCATTGGGATAGACCTACTCCATTTTGGAATTGTTTAACATTTACTATAAGCTCTACAACTGAGATTTTTAACACTTTGTACAAGTATCATGCGAAGCTCCACAATGATACCAGAACAAGAACAGATGTATTTACTGCCAAATACTAAACATTTAAGAGGCTCAAATAGTTACACAGTGTCCATTGTGTAATGGTTCAATTCTTGCAGTACATCTACGATACAAAATTTAAAACAAAAATAAAAATAAAAAATTACTAGATGGATTGCAATTATCTAATCAATTATAGAAAAGCTCAACTTTTCTTTTCCTTCTGAATTTTTTAGAAATCCAGGTAAACTGATGAGTTTTTAGAAGTTGAATTTCAATTAAGTTCCCATTAAATAGGTTAGAACAACAAATCAAATTGGTAACGTTAAAATATGTCAGCTCTTCTCAATCATTCACCATTCTTTGAAACGTAAACACATATTCATATTTAAAGAAGGGGGAAAGAGAAAGTGGAAAAGGTAGCCTTCGTTTTTCAACACCCTAAAACATTCTTCATTGTATTTCAGTTAACCGATCAGCTTACAGCCGCAATGAATGATCTCATCTCCATCTAGGCATGCAGATCTCGATTGTCGAATCGCAGGAAATCATTGTTGAGCTCCAACACGAAGCGTCGGGCTGTGGTGCAACAATTGGTTCTCTTCAAGATCCACTTCCTTAATTTGATCCACATCTTTCTGCAAGGACTCCATTGTCAATGATTGATTCTCCATCTAAATCCAAACCCTAAACCCCAATAATATATGTATATAACCCTTTTTTTTTTTTCAGTGTATATAACCCAAAATTTTGAGAGAAAGAATGAGACGGTAGAGAAGATTGGAGCCTCTGCTGAGATATGTCAGAAAGGAATAGGATTGGTTTGTTAAGGGAGAATTCCTTAATTGAACTAGTTACGTACTTATGTGATACAGGTAATGACGTTGGAGTTGGAGTGATTACAGTTAGGGCTGCAAATGAGCCGAGCCGAGCCGAGCCGAACTTTACCTTGCTTGGGCTCGGCTCGGGCTAGTGCGAGTTTGGCCAAACCGGGCTCAAGCTCGGCTCGCCAAATTTTTGGTGAGCTCGGGCTCGGTTCGGCTCAGCTCGAGCTCGCCTTCAATCCCAAAAATAAAAAATAAAACAGAAGGTTTAGATCTATACTGTTTCAAAAATGGAAGAAAATGCTGTATCTCTTTCACTGACATCCGTCTACGATCATCTTCATCTGACCTCGCCAATACTAAAATTGGATAGAGACATCAGGACCCAAGAGAGAGATTTCATAATTGTAAACGAAGGAGGAAACGATGTTCGGGTCGAAACTTGAAAGAGATTAGAGGAGTGATGTAGCAAGATTTGTTGTGGCTGCGTATGGATAGGGTTTCATCCCGGAGATTTCAGAAATTTGGAAACCGTGGCCGAGTAGAGAAGAAGAAGCAATGTTGCGTGATCTGTGAGGCTGCATATGGTTAGGGTTCACAAATGCAATCCAACGGTGATATAAAGATAAGGGTGTGACTAATAGATTGATAGGGTAATAGTTTAAGTGGAGTTGGGCCTAAAGTTAAATAGAGTTGGGTTTATAAACTTATATGAGTTTGGACTGGGTTTATATCTAATGCGCTAAACAATTGTAATATAAAATTTGAAAAAAATAAATTGAAAATAGGCCATTTAGTAAACGAGCTTGTTCACGATTTTAATGAGCTGACCTCAGCATTGTTCAAGCTCGGCTCGTTTACTTCACGAACGAGCCCGAGCTGAGCTTTTAACGAGCCCAGCCCGAGCTGTTTATGAACAGCTCGGTTCATTTGCAGCCCTAATTAACAATAGTATAAAGGTGAATATTTTTGACCGTTAATTTATATATTAGAATTTGAGAGAGTTGAAAATTTAATGTAGGAATCATTGGAGGAAAATCTTTCAGTAATTGACGTTGTTTCCTATTATTGAAGATTTGGTGTTACTAGAGGAATCAGTGGAGAAAAATCCTCCTTGCTTCCTATTTTCTAATTTTTTCCATTCTCATAATTTCTTCTCCTATATAAAGGAGCCTCCACCATTATATTGTGTATGAGTTGAGAGATTATAAATAAAGTGATGTAATCATATGGGCTTTTTGTGCCGTGGATATAGGCCCTAGTAGCTAAACCATATAATATATGTGTGTTCTACTTGTTTTATTTCTCTATTCACTTCCGTTTTAAGCTTTACAACATGATATCAGAGCCTAATTTCTCTTCCTAGGTTCGGACCCCTATTTTGGGGTATTTCCTTAGCATTTGAAATGTTGCTAAGGGTTTTTCCGTACTATTTGCGACTTGTATGGACTGCCGGTTTGTTCGGCAGTAATGTTCTTCGCCTTTGCCGTGTCTCCGACAGTTTTTATTGACTTATTTGGGCTGTCGGTATGTTCAGTAGCATTGTCTTCATCTTTGCTATGTCTCCGACAGTTTTTATCAACATGTTTGGGCTACCGGTATGTTCGGTAGCATTGTCCTCGCCTTTGCCATGTCTTCGACAGTTTTTTGTTGACTTGTTTGCGCTATCGCTGCAGTGTTGTTAAAGGCGCGCCTAGGCTTAGCGCCTATTGTCATCCCAGGCTCACTGATGTTTACTAGGCGCGCGTCTCGGTTGTGCCTCGTCCTGTTTGGCGCACCTCACTGATATTTGTTTAAAAAAATACGATTGTTCTATTTCTTAAGCCAAAAAAGGTACTTTTGGCAACTTAATAAACAAAAAAGAAAGCTCAATCATACGATATAAGGAACTTTTGTTCAAAAGAATAAAAAAATAAGAAATCCTAAGAGTCAAAGTGTTAACCGAACAACGATAGAATGAATTTGTGAGACGAAAACGAAACCTTAGTTGCAAAGATAAACGACGAAGCCACGTCAGTTCTTTCTTTTATTTTTTTTTCTCTTTTCTCCTCTAGATCTCTCCTCTCTTCTTATCTTTGTTTACATCTCTCTCTTCGTCTAGTTCTCTCATCTCTCTGTCTTTTTTTTTTTTTGCTCTATTTTTTCTTTTCTTTTTTCTTGTTAACAATTTTTTTTTTTTGTTAACATATTTATTTCTTTTTGTGCTTTGTTTTGCCATTCAAAAAACACATTTTGCTTTGCCTTTCAAGAAAACAAATTTGAGCTCTGTTTTATAGTTGTTGGATGCTTGTATAGTTGATGGATTTACTTTTTTATATTTGATATTAATTTTTAGAATATTGATTTGACTGATGAGATATGAATGTTATTATGGTAGTTTAAATTTTCAATTGTGTGCCTCACTTCACTCAGGCGCGCGCCTCGTCGTGCACCTCGCGGCTAGGCTCCAAAGGACCTCTAGCGCTTTTGTGCGCCTTGGGCCTTTAATAACTATGTGTCGGTGTGTTCGGTAGCATTGTTCTTCGTCTTCTCTCTTCATCATTCACACTTGTTGTTACTCGTCATCTCAATGACAAGTTAGGCATCCATGCTCCAACTTGAGGGGGAGTATTGAAGATTTAATGGAGGAATCAGTGGAGGAAATCTTTCAGATGTTTCCTATTATTGAAGATTTGGTGTTACTAGAGGAATCAGTGGAGAAAAATTCTCCTTATTTCCTATTTTCTAATTCTTTCCATTCTCATAATTTCTTCTCCTATATAAAGGAGCCTCCACCAATGTATTGTGTATGAGTTGAGAGATTATAATAAAAGTAAAGTAGCCCTTTGGGCTCTTTGTGCCGTGGATATAGGACCTAGTGGTTGAACCACGTAATATCTGTGTGTTCGACTTGTTTTATTTCTCTTCACTTCCGTTTTATGCCTTACAACAGAGAGCATTTTAGTAAAATTAACCAGACGCTCACACCATCTATCCTACGTCATTGGCAAAGGAGGTCAGTTTAATTCTTAAAAACACAAGGGAGGTGCATATAATTTACCCTAAAAATAAACATCATCTCCCTAATTCGCAAACCAAGAGCCTATACATATTTTTACCTATCACAAGGGCGGAAAAAAAAAAAAACACCATACATTATTACGCACAAAAAAGGCACAACTACAATGCAAGCACTACAATCATGATATTAGAACAGAAAAACACATGTAAAAGATTAAAACATGAATCTAAGAGAAAAGGATAACAAAGTAGTAGGAAGATAATTGCAAACCTTGCTGTCCATATGCTGCTCCAATGTCAATGTACAGATGCACGAAATAGTAAGAGAAAACCAGATCAGATAAAGGAATGAACATAAAGATAAGGTTGAAAAGATTTTTAAACAAAAAATCGTAACATGAAATTTTACCTTGGAGACTAAAATCTTTCAAATCAACATCACAAAGCTCATAAACATTTGTCATGACACCAGCTTTCTGTAGCATGGACCCAAACACTGTTGCACATATTATAGCTTGTCGATTTGTAATTAACATTTGCTTCTGTAGCCCAGCAATGTAAGTATTTAATGAGCTACAACACGAAGGACTGGGAGCAGCTACGTTACGACATGCTTTAATTACTTCTGATGGCTGCTTAAAATCCAAAGGACAAACTGTTCCAAAATATAATCACTCATAAGTGATCTCCAGAAATACTATTATAGAATGCAATTAATTATGGAGTATAACACAATGTACATTTCGATGAAACTACCACATGCCTCTGAAGAAGAAGTATATCATCTTTTTTAGCCAAAACTCATACACAAACAAATGGCTTATAATGAAATAATAATTTGACGATGTTCCTTGTCTGCAAAAACCTTAAGATAAATTCGCTATGCTGTTTTAAAAATCAACCTGGCGTTTTGGTTCTCATCCACCTGTAACCACTTTAATCTTGGCTGAGATTGAAAAAAACTGACAGGTGACCTCCCTGCATCTTTATATAGAGTCTATGGGTTTATACTTAAACTTATTTCGTTTGTTGTGCTTCAATTGTTAAAAGACTCAACACAATAGGCATATTTATTTTATTTATTTATTATTTTTTTTTTAATGGCATGATATATGACTTCTATAGTCAATTCTAGCCCCAGTGTACTACAATTTACTTCAATCTCAGTATCACCCATAAAGACACAATTTTATTTTCCATTGTCGGGTATTTAGCATGGATTTATTGTTACTCGGTAGTTGGATTATCAAGAACATGCACACTATTCTTATGGTGGTGTTGTGACTAAAATTATAAATCAATCAGTTATCAATGGCTATTTCTTTTTTCATGTTTATGAGATGTAGTTACAGAAGCATGTCCATAAGTAAGGACCCAAATCATTGAGCTGGTGCATCTTTAACAACTTAACAATGAGAGTACCCAGGGACAGAGCCAATGCAGGCTCCGGGCCCGAGGGGGGTGGTCACGTGCTCCCCGGCCCCGGCCCTGCCCACTATATATATGTATATACTTTTTTATATGCATATATATACTAGAAATTTTACATAATGCTCCCCTAAAATTTTCAATTGCTAAAATTATCTCTTAATTTTTTTCTTTCATTTTCTCTTTTACTCTTCAAATTCCTTTGATTTCCTAAAAAGAAAATTAAAAAAAAAAAAAAAGAAAGAAAGAAGAAGTTAAAATACCCTTCTTCAATCAAACCCTATTTTTTTTACTTTTAAAGTTCTCTTCATTTTTCTTATCTTTTTCTTTTTCTTCTTCTTTGATTTTTATTTTCCACTTCTTAGAATTCTTCTTTTTGCTCTTATGTATGATGTATGTACTGCAGCATTTTCTTCTTCTTTTTATTTAAATTTATTACTGTAATTTTATGAACTCAATGTGTATTTTATATTTTTGAATTTTTCTTTAGTGTAATTTTTTGCAAATAATGACATACTATTTGCCTTTTACCAAGTACACTGCACCCCCCTGAAATGAAATTCTGGCTCCGCCACTGAGACTACCAATGGTGCAGTAGTTATTTTAAAATTACAATGCTAACACTTCTTGATATACAAATTAAAAAATCCAATATGCTTAGAAAGTTTAGATATAAAAAACAAATCAAATAAAACTCAAAGAATTCCAGTAATAAGACGTCATGTAAAATGTGGATGAGGGATGCAATACACAGATGTAAGCATTTTCAACAGCAGGAGTCCAGGACCACATAACCATGAGAGAAACTCTGCAGCATGGTTCAAATTAACCAGGAAAAGAAGTACATGCAAAAGCAAGTTTTACAAAATTTGAACTAGCAGGAACCTAAAATTCTAACAGGCCCATTACAAGCATACAAATGACAAAATATGTACCTTTGTTAACTTTGCAGGCAGATAATATTCGAAATGCAGTATTGGCAGCATCCAACGAGAGTTTCTTAGAGAGCCATGAATACACCACTCCTTTACAATCGTTAAGAGCATCAATACGATTAGGTTCTCCAAATGCATACTTATTCTCGTTGATTGGCGATTGTGTTACTGAGATCTGAAGTGCAGCCTCCATGATAGCAGGCTGGCAAATTGGTCTGCAGCACTCTTTTAGAGGATCAATAGTGCTGCAAGCCTCCAATAATTTGCTTGTGTTCACTGTTTTCTCAAAGGTAATTACATCCTTCACAGGACAAGACCCGCCAGTAAGATTTGATGACTTTACAGAGCAGATAGTAGGTATTGAGCTGTTTGATCCTCTGCTGGCTAATATACTTATGATGTCTTTAAAACAATCCTTAGCCACTGCACTTTGTAAAACTAATTTATCTGAATTAGTGCTATAGTATCCTTGGAATATGCGGAGCAAACTACTGAACTGCGGGCAACATATAACATTTCCTACAAGTGCAGCTAAAGGTTGAGAACAATCCGATGCTGTTTTGTCCATAATACTTGAAACAGCAGAGAAATTTACAGGGCATCTTCCCGTCAATACTGGATCATACGTGGTTGGAAAGGAAGGGTACATTGGTGACAAAGGTTCCCCGGGGAAAGGATAGTGTGGAATGACTGCAGGTGATATTTCTATGGGTTGAAAAAGTCCACTACTAGGTGGGCTGGCTAGCTCAGATGTGGGAGAAAGATGTATTGGTTCAGGTGGCGTTTGCAGTGCCACTACATCTTGGAAACTGGATAACCAGATGATGAATAATAAGAACTGCTGGCAGAAAGTACCTGCAATAATTAAGCCTGCCTTTAGCATCTATATGCAACTCTTTGCATGAATAGAAAACAAGGCAGAACTACTTATCAAAAAAAAAAAAAAAAAGAAAACAAGGCAGAACTGTAATTGATGGACAATATGCAAGTGCATGTGAGAGAAAGAAAGAGAGATAGCTAATAACACTCCTAGTTATTCAGAGAGAGACATTATTGCAAGGACAGAGAAGCAAATTAAAACATCTAATTATGCAAACTACTTGTAGGGGAAAATTTGAAGTACAGCAAATCCTTTAACGGCAGTGAAAGTAACCAGTATTACTCTCAGAAATTCAAGCGACAAATGCCTCTATAGAAACTAATCTTTTCTTCTTAATACAGGTATACGTTGTACAAATTCTAACCACTTAAGTTTTCTTTCTCTTAAATTTTTATCACTAGAAGGCACTACTCCTGATTTCTCCCTCAAACTTCGATTATGAACCATATCTCTTCTAATCACACCTATCATCCGTCTCAGCATTCTGATCTCAAACACATAAGCACATTATTTTTGTTTCTTTTGTAATGCCCAGTGCTCTGCTACATATGACATAGTTAATAAATGGCCTAATAATACGTATACCGTAGTCTAGCAATAACAGCATTTTAGCCATGGGGGTTATGAAGTGAAAATATACAATTCAACAACTCAAGAAAAATGCAGCCCCATTAATTTGGGCAAAGCTACAAGCCAAAATGAACTTTACAAAACCATGGCTGACCACGAGTGAGGAAAAAGCAACTAAAAAAGATGTATAATGTACATAGATTCCATCCAGTTATAGATCAGACCTGTGTGTCAGCCTGGCCCCTGTTCTGTAAATATACTAGGAACCATACAGCAGACCTTAACCCACCCACCCACCCCCAAAATCTAGAAATAAACATATATATAGCATACTCCCTCCAGCCCTGAATCACCTCCACTATGTGTGTGTGTGTATATATATATATACAAGTATTCCATTTTCACCCCTAATAATGACAGTGTTTTGTCTTCGTCATGTAATATATCCTGTAAAAAAGGTTGCACTGGAGAAACTTAGTAACAACTAGTAATTGACTATTGATAATGGACAAGAATTTTGAGATGTCTAAAGAAGGAAATTTGGAATGCGATTTTTGGGACAGATGAGTAATGGTAGTATACATCCAGCATAGACAACACAATTGTACAACTGTAACAAAATACAAGTACACTTGATTCTGAACATGTGTTCAAATCAACGACTGCAAATTCAACAGGATATCATGCCATGTTTGGAAGAGAATTCATGCAAAGACAGTAAGAACCAAATTTTGAGAAGTTAAAAAGTTGTAACTACAGAATTCAGCTAAAGATTTGACAGGTAGGCAACATTTTATGATAATTCTATTAAGTCCTACCCAAAAAATTTGCTCAACTAACAAGAACGAGGCATATAATTTGTCAGCTAATTTCCAAGAGAATAAAAATAATTCAGCAACTAATAAAAAAATTCACTTGATTTTCATGGTCAGAACTGCAATGCTGGGATGAGCTAGAAGCCAAAATAAAATAATTTATGATGAGAATTTAAAGAAGACAACATGGAATCCCATTCTAATAGGTAATTCATGCAGTGTCAGAAGCAATGCTCATGTAGTTATGTCTATTATGACATATGACTATGCAAAAGAGAAGCTCCTCACAATAAATTTCACCATTTTAGTAACTTACCCTTAAAGTGAGCAGTGGTCTTTACACAATCCATAGCTACACTAAACCTCTGGCGACATGGAGAGACATGCCCTATGGTAGTTGTTAATGGTATACCCCCAAAATAGTTCACAGCAACATACAAACACCTGTGCCAACTTCAAATATTAGACAACTCAAAAGGAAAAACCATACCAAACAAAAAACAATGAATAAGATATGAGAAACTAACAACTTTGGAATATAGAATGAGTAATTGAGTTTAAGTTGTATAACAAGCTCTAGTCTGTTCAAGGCGACAATAATAAACACCAGAATGACTGAATCCCTTTTTAAAAGTATTAGGCTTTAACTAAGTTACAACTCCCTTTTAGATGCATGGTTGGCATGCTTGACCGTTAATCTGTTACAGGGGATCTTTCGAGCAAAAGGAGTCATCTTTTCATATTGCTCGTTTATTGGACTACTCAATAGTAGTAAAAGCCAAGAGAACAAAGTGAAGACTGTAAAATGTGTTTAATAGGTTTCACTTCAACCATTAATAAAAATTCCACAGGTTGTATATTGCATTCAATTCTTTTCAGCACCCTGTAAATTGTATAACCCCCTCAAATGGTGCTCCTCGTAATACAGTTGCAAATTTCCCATCGAGTTTGGCAGCAAGATGTTCTCAATTACAAAACTGAGCAAATAAAATTAGTCCATATTTCTGAGTAAATAAAAATTTAATTTCTGCTGCACAAACCCATAGGAGATTCTAACATTTTCAAACCCTTTGAATTAGGTAAAAGCTATTTACTGTAAAAAGCACCAGAAATCTTCCCAGAAATAAATTTTAACGGCGAACTAATTCAAAACCCAAATGAGTTTCACATGAATCTTTGCACATTTCAGATGGAAACCCCATAATATAGTACCACTTATAACAAATTATCTTCATCTATTCAGTACCAAGCATAATCAACCTAAATGCACCTATACTTGTTCAAATTTCATCAGCAAAACACATATTAACACGTAAATAAAAATTCTGCAGTTGCACCTAATAAAATTAACAATACCCATTACAATATACATGTACTTACACATAATATTCACAATCCAGATTTTCTTTCCAAATCTTTGAAACCCTAGCTAGAAGAACATACATATGCATAAAAATGTACAGATACATACATATATATATATATATAGAGAGAGAGAGAGAGAGAGGAGTGGCATATACCTGGAGTTAAGGGAGTTGGTGACTGGGTTAGGGTTGATTCAAAGAGATTCTAAGTAACTTTTAGTGCAAATGAAGCCCTTGTTGGGACCAAAAATTTTCCATATTGATCAGTTGTCATTTATCAATTCTAGGATTCTTAGACCCCAGTCCGGATTGTTGATGATACGCACATATATTTAGTATTTAAGAGAGAGAAACAACCACGGAATCAGCGGAATATATGTAATAGAGAGAGAGAGAGAGTGAGTATTTAAGTCAGTATCGGAGGATAAAGTGGAGAGAGTAACTTTCCCTTTCCCGCTGTTTTTTTCCGGTGTACCTGCGCATCATTACTGGTGAACCAGCTGCACACCAGATTGTGACACGTCATAGATGGCCCACAATAAAATGGTTTATTTTGCATCGGATGAAATCTGCATAAATATAGATAATAAGGCTATTAGATGGAAATGAGTAAGAAATATAAGAAAAATGAAAGAAAAGTGAGGTGGATGAAAAAAATATATTTTTATCATGTTTTTTTGTATAAGAAAGTAATTGACCATATTAAAATTATTTTTATGATTTCAAATACTAAAAAAATATATGAGTTTGTATTTGATGATATCTATTTTTAGCAAATAAATAGTAAAATGATGGATTATTGAATTTAATACTATAATTATTTTTATTTAAATTAAGACTTTATAATATTACCAACAGTCCTGTGGCTTAGCGGTATAAGACTCCTACTTTTCAAAGAGACGGCAGGGATTCGAACCTCAGTGGAGGCATTGTATGTGAGTTCCAACTATACTAATTTTTAAGAGAAATTTTATTGTATGTTGTTGTGGCCAATTATATATAACTTGTGGTAAAATAAGAAATAAAAATAATAATTGTTTTGCAAAAACTTGCCTCTTTGAAACTTAGTAAAAAAATAAAGAAAAAATTTGTTTTGAACGATTAAGTTAATGCATAAAATAAAAACGTCGCATATTTCATACGAAAATATTATTTTCCTGTGTTTTGTGTAGGAAAAGTTTTGGGAGGAAATATGAATATAAAAAATTTCATTACCTTTCTTTTTCCATCTATCCAAATTAAAATAAAAAATAAAAAAATTTATCTATCCAAATTCAAAAAAAAAGTTAAATTTTTTTTGTTTCCTATCTCTTCTAGTTGATTCCAGCTAACTAAACAAAGGTAAGGAATTGAAAAAAAAAAAAAAAAAAAAGTTACTTTGAAACATTTATGAGTTATGATGAATCTAAGGTACAATGCTTGCTTGGTTTGTCATTTTAAAAAATTATAAAAGAAAGTTATTTTGAATATAGGTTTTTTAACTAAATTTTTATAAAATAGTTCAAACCATCAATCAAACTAAATTTTGTATAATTTTTTTATTTTTAATTCTCAAAAAATAAATAAAAACATTTTCTTACAAAACTGAACCACCCTCGTTTATTTCAGGACACCCCATCTTTTGACAAGAAAAGGATAAAGATGAGGAAAATAAAATCTACATAATATATTTATTGGTTATTCATTTTTTGCGTTGTATTTTATTTATTTTCTTGGTGGCAACACAGTCACTTTGCACCAAAGCTTTCACTGAGAGGTAGAAAAATATAATACAGTATTATTAGACTATGTGCATAATATATTTACTTGACTAAAATTTCAGTTTGAATAACATTAACCCATATTAAAACATTATTATTCAGTATTCAGCTCATCAATTTGTGGTGTTTTAATTACCTACCCAATCACTGCAATATATATATATATATATATATATATATATATATATATATATATTGTGAAAATAGAGGCTATTATTAGACTCTGTACATAATATATTTACTTGACCAAAATTTCAGTTTGAATAACATTAACCCATATTCAAACATTATTATTCAGTATTCAGCTCATCAATTTGTGGTGTTTTAATTACCTACCCAATCAACGCAATATATATATATATATATATATTGTGAAAATAGAGGCCATCATAGCATCCTAATGTTACACGTTGAATTTGGATGGGTGAGTAACTAATGAGTACGTAATACCATTCAATAATTTGAGTTTTTTTAGTAAATAGACAAGTACTCACTCGTTATAGTTGGAATCAGAATCAAACCTGATATTAAATTCGGTGTAACACCAAATCTCCGGCCCGAAAAACGCCCAGGTTTGACCTCGACTAGGAGGGGTGACCCGACCGCAACGAAGGCGTTGCGCGAATTCAGGAGGGAGAGAATGTTACAAGTGGAGCTTGTCCCACAGCGGATTTGAATTGGTGTTGAAGTGTGTATAAATGGGAGGGTGAGGGAGAATGTTACAAGTATAACTTGTTTCACGTTGAATTTGGATGGGTTGAAGTGTGTGCATCTAAATTCTTAATTGTCAAAAATATATATATATATATATATATATATATATAAAATTACCAAAAAGCCCTTCACCAACCACATGTATTTAGGCTTAAAGGTCAATCTAAGTGGACAATTATAGGTTTATGGTTTGACAATTTACCAACCCCCGCACATACTTTGTATTGGGTTACAAAGGATATTAAAAATAAAAATCACGGGGCAAATACTAAAGTCTAAACTAGTCCATAGTTGATTGGACCTAGGTTCAGACCGAAATTTGAGCCCGGACTGTCCAATTTACAAAACGTTGGTGGTGGGTCTGACCCAAGCCACTGATGCTCCCTTGGAGCTAAACGAGATGGCCAAAAAAAGGATCCATTAAAGCCCGCTTTTGGCGATATGGGAGCCCAAAGTTGCTCCACCGGCCTAGCTGAAAAAGGCAGGCCCACTTTGCCTCACCGGTCGGCTCGCAGAATACTGTTAGCCGGCCCGCGAACGTAATATATATATATATATTTTTTTTTTCTGTTGCAAAACGGGGCCATTTTTCATCACTTTTTTTTGTTTTATTCTCAAACGCTCCTGGAGCAATTAAGGCACTATTCAGCATTTTTTTTTTTTTTTTTGAAAAACCTCAAAAATAGGTTATTTTGTGCTTTTTTTTTTATTTCAAAAAAGGTAAAATAAAATAAAATTCATTAAATAAAAAAATATATTGTTTAGGCACTGTTTGTCCAAAAATAAATTTATTTGGGCCAAAAATAAATTAAAAACCTTTTTTCCCTTAAAATTTGCTCTTTTTTTATTTTTTTGCTTTAAATTTTAAATGTATACCACAAACAATACATTTGGCCATTAAGGCATTGTTTGGCGGACACAAATAGTGCCTTAACGGCTATAATTTTTTAATATATATATATATATATATAACTTTAAAAAAAATAATTAAAATTACAAATTCATCTACTTATTCACATAGGATTTTGTAATCCTTATTTTCTGATTCCAATTAGTGCCCGTTTAGCAAAAGTTTAAAAAAATAAAAAATAAAATTTTTAATTTTTAATTTTCTTTTAGAGAGCAAAAATTCGGAGAGCCTGATGGAGTGTATGTTTTTGGAGAGCGAAACTGCTAACGTGGCTTTTGGAATTGCTGACGTGACTCTTGAAAAAGTTGATGTGGCATTTTTAGAGAGCCAAAATCCGGAGATTTGCATCAGCCTTTCCGGATTTTGGCTCTCTAAAAATGCCACATCAATTTTTTCAAGAGTCACGTCAACAGCTTTCGCTCTCTAGAAACATGCACTCCATCAGGCTCTCCGAATTTTTGCTTTAAAAAAAATTAAATTTTTCATTATTAATTTTTTTTTTTAACTTTTCCTGAACAGCTATATTTCTAACGGCCAAATGCATTGTTTATGGTACACATTTAAAATTTAAAGCAAAAAAAGTAAAAAATTTAAAAAAAAAAATTAAGGGAATTTAACCAAAAAAAAAAAGGATTTTTTTAATTTATTTTTGGCTTAAATAAATTTTTTTTTTGACAAATAGTGCTTAAACAATATATTTTTTATTTAATGAATTTATTATTATTATTATTATTATTATTATTATTTTAAAAAAGAGCTCAAAATAACCTATTTTTATATTTTTCAAAAAAAAAAAAAAATCTGCCAATTCAACCACTGTTCCAAGACTGTTTTAGATTAAAACAAAAAAGGTAACTACAAAACGGCGTCGTTTTGCAATAGAAAAAAGACAAAAAAAATATATATATATAACGATTGTGGGCTGGCTAGTGATGTTTGGCAAACCGGCCCGCAAGGCAAAGTGGGCCTCAAGGATTTAAGTTAGCCCATTGCGCGACCAAAGGGTCACTTGGTCACAGAAATGTGCCTTTAGCTAACCCGTTGTAGCTGCTCTAACAATCAAACAAAGGCCATCGACAATTAAGCAACATTTTTTTAGCTACAATATAATTTAAAAATAAGGACAATACATAGGTAGGCACATGTCATCCAAATTGTTGATGTAGTTTAATAACAAATCAATAATATTTTTTTAACTACAAAATCAGAGAAGATGGATTACCAGGGCTTAGATATAATTCTTTAATTTTTTTTTTATTCTGATTTTATTTTTAAAGAGCACGTGTTCATGTGTTATAGATCCATATCAGCGATTAAAATGAAGTACAACCTCGCCTGTGAAGCTTAAATATTATTATTAAAATAATATAACTAGAAGAAAATAGATATACCATTTTAGACAATTTCAAAAGAGAAATAGAAATTTCTAAATATTATCATGTGATAATTGTTTTTAGATATAGAAAATGGTAAATAATAAATAATTGGTAGATTTTATTATTTGAATAGAACAATCTAGTAAAAAATAAGATGATGAAAATTTGCTATAAATATCCTAAGGGTTATGTATGAAATCAATCAATTAAATCATAATGCTTCGTTTAGTGTGTAGGAATGGAATGGAATGCAAGTGGGAATGGAATGAGAATGTGAATGAAATGAAATGGTTATTCTCATTCTATTGTTTGATTGTAAATATGAAATGTGTAGGAATAAAATAATAATAACCATTCTAGTGTTGGGTTAAACTAATTTAAAATTTAGAATGTAATAAATTTCTAATTAAATTATCTAAAATATCCCTCTTAGTAACAAATAAATTAAATTAAAATAACAAAATGATATTCTCTAATAATTTTTTTAAAATAAATGGTGGTAGTGGCAGTGGTGGATGGTGGAAAGCGATAGTAGTGTAGGTGGTGGTGTTGGATGGCGGCGGTGGTGGCAATGGTGGAAATTGGTGGCATAAGTGGTGGTAGAAGGTGGCAGTGGTGTTGGTGGAAGACGGTGGCAGTAGTGTGGTGGTTGTGGCGGAAGGAGATAGTAGTGTGACTATAGTGGTGGTGGAAGGCAGTGGAAGTGGCGGTGGTGGAAGGTGGTGATAATGGTGGCAGTAGTGGAAGGCGGCGGTAATAGTGGCAGTGGCGGCGGTGGTAGTGGTGGTGGCGGCGGTGGTGGAAGGCGATGGCGGCGGCGGTGACGATGGCGATGGTAAAAGGTAGTGGTGGTAGTGCAGGGCTGTAGCGGTAGTGGAAGGCGGTGGTGGTAGTGAAAGGCGGTAGCTGTGCTTGTGGTGGAGGGTGGTGGCAGTGGTGAAAGGCGATGGCGGCGGTAGTAGTGGAATGTGGTGAAAGACAATGATAGTGGTGGTGGTGGATAATGGTGGGGATAGCATTAGTGAAAAGTGGCGGTGGTGGTTGCGGCAAACGGTGGCGGTAACGGTGGTGAAAGACGGTGGTGGAAAATGGTAAGCGATGGTGAAAGTCGGTGGTGGTGGAAGGCAGTAGTAGTGGTGGAAGGCAGTAGTAGTGGTGGTGGTGGTGAAAGGCGGAGATGATTGTGGTGGAAGGTAATAGTGGTTTTTGGACTTAGAATATGAGGATGTTTTGGGAAATCGATTTTTTAAAATAAATTACTTGAAAATGAAATGGCCATTTCATAGGTTTAGTTGTGGAATTGATTTTTATTCAAATGGAATGACCATTCCTACTTTAAGTTGTATACCAAACAAATGAATGGTTGAAATAGACATTCCATTTCTGCACACCAAACGTAATAGAATATTCACTAGGAGTGATTCAATCCGAACCGAGTGGCCTAACATTAATTATATAATTAAAAATGGCGCTAAACTATGGATGTCAAATGTATATTAATTGTTAAACAAAAATATAACAGAAGTAATAAATAAACAAACATTTTTGGGTTGCGAAATAATATTTTGGTTAGGTAATGACCATCTACAAAATTCAAAATTGAATGTGAGAAAGTAAATTGCAATCGTCTCATTTTGAAAATGAGTATGTTTCGACATATATAATTAAACTATATTGATTCATTGATATTTCATCTGTGTACAATTGATCCTTCACAAAATTCACGTTAAAAAATGTCATCTTACAAATCAATGCGAATGCCACAACAAATAAATTAATAATTACATCTGGCATGTTTTAATTTCAACCAAATTTTTTTATTGATCCATTGTAATCATTCAAACTCGCTAAGGATAATAGACGTACAATGAGAGACTTATTTCCTTCCTTTTTTAATACAAAAATATCAATAAAAGCGAGATGCAAGAATATATATACTGGTAAGTTAATTTAGCAAGAATATATTTTTAAAGTTTTAACAAAAATTATAGATAGCACTTTTAATAAAAATATTTTAATGGGGCAACTGCCCCACGATTTTTTTTCTTTAGGACGGTAAAGGAAGTGTGAAGTGTGAAACTTCGTGAGAGCATTTCCAATGCTAAAATCTATTTTCATATGTCAAATTTAATCTATTTGCACATGTCAAATTTATATTTTGACAGGAGTTACAGTGTCAAAATGTTACATTTTAGCAATTCTGCTCCAATGATACATTTCACGTAAAATGCTATTTTTTAACACAACTACTATTCTTTTTCAATTACCATTCCCACCATTCATATTTGCATCGGTAATATTAATATTAGGCATATTAAACCTAATTAGAAAGAAGTACAAATCTAAAATATTTGGTCAAAAAAGGATAAAAAAAAAAGAAACAAATTTTTTATAATTTTTTTACCACTATTTGTGAATTTAATTTCTTTTTCAGAAATTTATATATATTATATATAATATACATATAGAGATGCGAGTGAGCGGTGACCAGTGAGAAACGGCACCGTTTTGAGAAATGAGAGACTTATCAAAAAAATTTGACAGTTGCCATATATGAGAAGAAATTTGAGAATCTCAAATTTTGAGAGCTCAAATAAAAAGCCATTGGAGAGGCCCTTTTTCACCCAACTCTCATATTTTGAGTTTGAAAGGCCCAAATGAGAGAGCATTGGAGTTGCTCCAACACGGGTGTTGTGTGACGGGCAGCACAACATGATGGGTTTAATCTATTTAAGTTATATATATTAAATATTTTTAAAAATTTAAGTATAAAATATAAATATAACAAAAAAATTGAGATAGTAAATGATTAAATTTATGAAAATGAAAATAATTAAGATTATGATCAATTACAACTTAATTCTGTACAATTTTATTGGCAAGTCGTTTCCAATTTTCTCAACTACTGTTTTAGCAAAGATGTGTTTTTCTGGTTTTAGTTAAATTTAAATATTTCAACGATCTTATTGAAAAGTTTAGAAGAATTTTTTTTTTGTTAATTTTTATTTTTCTCTAAATTATTTTTCTCAAACAAAATTAAACATAATTTACCGATGCAACACCCGGAGTAGAGGGTACAAAACCCTGAAACTAGAAAGAAGTCACTGTTCTTCATCCATACATATAGCTCTACTCAGAATAGCACAGAACTGAGTCGACTCAAATGAATTGATTTTTAGGGTTTTAGAGGTTCTTCCATTCTCAGTTCGATCGAGTCAGAAGAAGTATAGAGTTTTCTGATTTCAAGCGCTAGGATGATCTAACTCAGCATCTACAAAGGTTTCTGCAAATCAATTCGACACACACTCAATACAAAATACCTTCAATTTCATCCTCAAAGTATGCATTCTCTCTCTTGCGTGAATCAAAGCAACGGTGTTATGGTTTAATGGTAAGAGATGTTCTATGCCTTGATATCTGTTTGTTTGGGTGCCATAGTGTTTGTTTGTTTGTTTGTTTGGTGAGAAAATGCGGGAAAATCAAATGAAACTGCAACTTTAATTTCTCATTTTCTGTTATGTTGGTTGTCAGAATACGGAAACTAATTTCAGCTTACTTTATAATTTAGTCTACTTAATTTGTTGAGTTTGATTTCTCTGTTTTTTCATGAAATGGAACGTATCGCCAAATATGGGTTTTGGTTTTCCTTTTATATCTCCTAGCAACCAAACGGTACTCAATCCTATACCTGAAAGTCTGATTCGGTGCACTTTCTGTAGGTTGTTTGGTTGCTGAGAAATATTTGGAGCAGACAAGGAAATGAAACCTTCAGTCCCTAATTTTCAAGCGTTTCGATTCTCAAATTAAAAGCCTTGAGTGAGTTATCGTCATCCTTTTTTTGATGGTTCCGTATTGAAACCCAAACAGCAAAGCTAATATGGGTGTGAATATATGTTGTCAATAGTCTATTTTCATTTCCTTGATTTCCTCAATATCCAAATGTTAACCCTATATTGGGTTTTTAGTTCCACTTATGGGTAATTATTTGCTTTTTGGTTATGCAATTTAAGGACATAGTGTTAGTACGGAGGTTCAACAATGCAAATTCTGCAGCATATCATTTCCAAAATCTCTGCTACTCCAAGCGCCAAGACAGTGAGAAATGTGGTAAAGGGATTGGATCTGAAGATACTTTTGCCGAGGGCCCGAGTCTTTTCAAGCAATTCTGGCAGTGGTGGAAATGACGAAGGTGATTGGGGGGAAACATTTGGTGGAAGTGGAACTACTGGTTCTGATGATTTGGGTTGGGATGTTGCATCATCTTGGTCTACTGGACTGACCAAGGATCATTTTGACGGAGAGATGGTTGGCCAACAGGTTAATTCATCTGGTCCTGGAGATAATACGGCGAGGTCTCAGTTTGGTTCTGCAAGATGGACTTCTGAGGAGATGGATAAATTGAAGGAATTGGAGGAAGAGAACCGCAAAGGCAAGGCGTTTGTAGATGGATGGGACGAGAGGATGCAGGAAATGAGCATATTGTTGAAGCAGGTGCGAGAGCCTGGAGCAAGAGGCACATATTTGAAGGACTCTGAGAAGGCTGAGATGTACAGGCTTCACAAGGAAAACCCAGAAGTAAATACAGTTGAGAAGTTAGCAAAAGATTATAGGATTATGAGGCAGAGGGTGCATGCGATTTTGTGGCTGAAAGAACTTGAAGAAGAAGAAGAGAAAAAGCTTGGACACCCTCTGGATGATTCTGTGGAGCTGTTGCTAGACACTTGCCCCGAGTAAGGAACAGATCTAATCATTACTTGTTCTAAATTTGTTAAAGATTTATTAATTTCTATTGTGATCCAGAAACAACATCAGCTAGTTTAGTGGATGGTGGGTTAATGTTAGAGGAAGAAACTATGACACACACACACACACACATATATATAATTTAGAGAATCCATGCTTCTCTGATTTCTTTGGTGTCTTTGAAAAGAAACACATATAATAATCTTTGATTATGAATTGTCAACCTTGAAGCCTAGCAAGGCTTAGGATGCATTCTATATCTATGTTTAAATGTATGTGCACATTTGTGTAAAGTATGTATCCTTAATTATTTCAGTTTTCATGCCTCATGATTACTAGAGTTATGGATATAGAACTTATTAGTCTTCTTATTATTTTCGTTGCATTTCCATGAAATTCACATCATATTTTATTACCAGTTGGAAAACCTCAATCTTGCGTTTCTGAGAATTTTGCAGGTTAAAAAACTGTGTGTGTGTGTATTTTGCTTATTAGAGGTTAGATTAATTGAATCAGTCCTTGTTCTTCTGACACCTGCTTAAGGTTTTTTTTATTAACTGCATATTGTGGAATTTTCTATTCCATTATAAATCACCTTATATGAATGAACGGTTGAAAAATGTATGTACTCATGTTGGATAGAGTCATAGACAGCTCCTGAAATGTGTATGAGATATGGCACAAGTCTCCTTCTCCTTAAAGTCTAGTCATTGTTGAACACTCAAAGTTACATAAAAAAAATATGGTTTGCATCTAGAAAAAAATATAAAATAATATGAGTATATAGTCATCTCCCCATGTCTTTTGTTTCAGTTATTATTATAAACTTGACGCTAGACACATACTAGCGTTAGATACATGCATGTGTAATAACTGAATAACAATTTATCATAAATAAGGCCTTAAAATAGTTAGGACTCCTTCCCATTTGTTTGATATTCCTTGGCATTTTCTTGTCTCATGCCACATGTGGAAAGAAATTCCCATTGTCCTTACTTTCACAATCTTCAATTTGGAATGGACATCAAGAGGATTCGTCAGCATATAATTATTTTTGGCTTTATTGTTAACAGATTTTTATAAATCAAGTTATTGACTATTTCGAATAAATCCCGAAATTCTCGAATGGTGCCACAATCTGTTCAACTTATAACAATGTGTTGAAGTAGTGTCAGTTCTAGAACAATCTGGAATTATTAAGCCTAAGGTTTAGTGATAATTGTGGAAGAAAGTATACATAAGTACGGATTTGTGGATTGGTGAGAAAGTCTTGACCTTGAGAGTGTGGGTTCAGGTTATTATATTTAATCATTTTTGTATTTTTGCATGTAGAAAAGAAAAGAAATTAGAATTAAGATACTGTATCAGACCCTGATCTGTCAAATTCATTGGTTGTTCTCATGCTATGAGTCGTATTGACAAAACAATTCTTATGTTTATAGCTAATACTTCTTTCTATATCCATAATATTTGGTTTGTGGTTGAACAAGTCCTTTTTATTTTCGTGGCCGAACATTTTTTTTTTTGGGTGGTGAGGGGGAAGAGAGCATCAATAAGTATGGATTTGTGGATTGGTGAGGAAGTCTTGACCTTAAGAATGTGTGTTCAGGTTTTTACTTTAATCATTTTTGTTTATTTCCATATAAAAAAAGGACAAAAGAATTGAAAAGAAATTAGAACTAAGATATTGTATCAGCCTATGATCTGTCAAATTCATTGGTTGGTCTCATGCTATGAGTCGTTGTATTGGCAAACCAATGCTTATGTTTATAATTAATAATTCTTTCTATGTCCACAATATTTGGTTTGTGTTTGAACAAGTCCTTTTTATTTTCGAGGCACAACCTTTGTTTTTATTCCATATTGTTCTCTTGACATTTTGTAGTTTAATTAGCTACTAATTTGTTCAATCAATATCTTTTGGGCAAATATGTTTCATTTAGAAAAATTTTATTTTATTTTTGTTTTTTATTATTATTATTATTCTTATTTTAAGTTCTGAAAATATTTCAATTTTCTCAAAACTGTTCCATTATTTGGATTGAATGAAGCATACCCTCAAAACATAATTTGAACCTTGGATGGTCGTCGTGCCCTTCTTGCTAGCTCATTAAACTATCACATAATACTTGGCATCTGAAGACTTGTATGATCACTGATCATAATTTGCTTCACACTCTCTCTCTCTCATTCTCCCTCCTTCCTTACAAGAAATAGAGATTTTATTGGTTACTTTGGACTTGCATCATATTTTGGGATTGGAGATTTCTGATTTTACTAGTTACTTTTAACTTGTGTCATGTTTCAGGATTGGATGTCATATTCATTAGCTTTTTGTTGCATCATAATTTTGGTTGTGTTCCCTAGAATCCATTTGCATTAAACATAAAATCTAAAAAGAGAATATATTTGCATTTATTTCAAGAAAATAAACAACCCAGGTTCACAATACTTAAGACACCTTGGTAGAATTTAGTGATATAATCCGAGTCTTTGACTCTTTGGTGGGTTTTAAAACTGTTATCTCGTCGTCATTATTAGCATTATTATTTAGAGAAGCCCTATATGCAGTCTATCTAACTTGCTTATATAGGGCTGTAGATGCAGCCATAAAGAATGTAAAAGTAGCCCCTTTCTTTTGATTATGCTCTTTGATCCACCCCTCTTAGTTGGTTTCCCTGTTGTATGTGTTTCATTATAATTGATTCTTTATGTTTGAATAACGTTAAATAGATATTTTCATGCCAATAATTATGCATATCTTGATTCAGAGAATTTTATTATATATGTGTGTATATATTGTTTTACATCAAAATAGGATGTCTTTAAGAATGTAATTAGCGACACACGACATTAGTGAATATTTTGTTAACATTGAGCACTGTGAGTAAAGAGGTAAAATGACGGCAATTGTATCCTAGATTTCGTATATTGCTCGATTGCAATGGTAAGGTGAGATCCAAAGTCGTCAAGCTCTGAATTCTATGTTGGATCGATGAGAGAGATCTATAGGATTGATCAAAGATTTTAATCAAATAAAATGAGAGGTAAGAAGACTAACAGAATATAAACAAAGAATTCTTAAAATAGACAGACAAGAATCCTAAACACATAGAAAAGGATAGAAATATGATTTCAAAGATATGGAACATACGAGCGTGCACAAATTTACCAAGCAATTGAGATATCGTTCAAAAGTTGGAGCTCTCACACTAAAATTGTAACATAAAAGTTCTAAGGTTGTGCAGAAGAAGAAGATACTTTCCATGAAGAGGGAAACAGTACACTCTTCATGAAGAAGATAGAAATAAAAAGAACAAAACACTAGAAGAAACAAAAGAAGACAAATAGAGAAGCAAGATGTTGTTCATGAAGAGACACTGTTTATGAAGAAAAATAGAAGAGATATCGAGAAGAAAGGATAATCTTTTAAATCAATAAAAGATTTGAATCACTTTCCAATGGCACTGTTTCAGTCATCAATAAATCTCCTTTCTCATTTGGTTGCTGCTTGTTGCAAGTTGTCACCACTTTCAGACTTTCAGTTATATGCTAATGAGTCATAATTTACTAATTATAATTATTTGTTTGGTTACCAGTTTTGGGTTTTACAAAAGTTTTGACTGGAGGGTTATATGCTGTGCCTTTGGATTTTGGTCAATTTTGGACTAAAGGTCATCAGAATAATAGACACCCAAAGAAATTCAGGAAAGCGTTGCAACCTGGATTGGTAGGATTGTGGTTCTACAACCTAAGTCCTGAACAAGGCACGAGCCCACCAAGGTCCTAACCTTCTGCAACTCTTTGTAGAACACCAACTATTAGAACGGTACCACTAAGATCCTACCTTTCTGCAAGTTTTTATATAATCCAGATTGATTTGATAACTTTCTAGGATTGTAAGATCCTACAACCCTGATCGTGATGCAATGGTGGGACCTCTTAATTGCCATAGAGTTTTCTCATAGGTAATAAGAATATAATCATTAGATTACTAAATTCTTTTTTTGTTCCGTCTTGGAAATGTTATAGTCTTTTTTTTTTTTTGATAAGTAAAATGTATTATAAGGCGTTCAAAAGGGGAACGCGTCCCAATCTATACAAATAAAAACAGAACCTATGATCTCAAGGAGCCAAAAAGTCCACAATATCCTCAATTGAGGAAAAATCTCTCCCCCAACCCCAACAAAAAAGAGTACAAATAATAGAAAATTTCAACACCCCAATGGAGGACTCCTTCCCATCAAAAGATCTTCTATTCCGCTCTTTCCAAACGCTCCACCAAACACAAAAAGGGGTTACCCTCCAAAAGACTTTCGCTTGAGCCCCCACCCATTGGCCCCTCCAAACATCCAGCAATTCCCGAGATGTCCGAGGTATGACCCAATGAATACCAAACAAATCAAAAATGAGACTCCAACAATCATGAGCCACAGGACAATGCAGCAGCAGGTGATCCACTGACTCCCCATTCAACTTACAAAGACAACAACGATTAACAATAATATGTCTTCGCTTCCTCAAGTTATCCAGAGTTAAAATCTTACTCCAAGCTGCAGTCCACACAAAAAAGGCCTCCCTAAGAGGCGCCTTGGACAACCACACCGTCTTCCACGGGACAACCACACCGTCTTATAGATATTAAATTTCCCTAGAAGTGTAAAATTTTATATGTATATGGATTTGTTTTCAAATTGATATGGAAAGCTTTCACGGCCTAAAGAATGGCAAGTGTAAACCCAGTGAACTTTTGAACTTGTCTTTTTCAGAATACTTAAGTCAGATCCTTATCTAGGTTGGTTCACAAGTCACAAGTAAAGCGATAGAAGAAAGACATGATCTCCTCATCTACTTACCTTTCTTACACATATATAAAGCTTATATTAGATTCTGAAAAGGAAAAATTTAGTTTGAACTTCTGAAGAATCTTTCATTTAGGGCCATTTATGGCTTATTTTGTACTATTTGAAATCTAATTCTATAGGAGTAAAGGAAAAGGTGAGAGAGATGAAGGCTTCCTATTTAATTAAATCCTTATATCGTTATCTCAGTTTTTTTGCTAAGGGATGCTTCAATAAACTTGGACCTGTTCTAAAGCATTTAAACTATAAATAATTTTATTTATTTATTTTTTCGTACATGATTACTCTATAACGAATCTTTCGTGGGAACTAGTTATTATCAACTTACAATGTAGGTATGTGTTTAGTAATTTTGTTTCCCTGCTTCATTCTGATGTTTTGTTGATAAAATGATCTCCATAAACTTTTGTTAATAAAAAGTTACTCAAGTGGAGGCACATGCATTACTCCTTCACTCATTGCGTCTCTTATCTTGTTTATTCATTTATTCCTCATTGTCTTTCCTGGTTTCTTTAGAGAATAAGCTATCAGCATCCCTCTCTCTCTCTAATCTGTCTGAAGTAGAAAAATGTCAAGAGGGGAGGACTACGATAAGGAAGTGGAAGGCCGCCAAAATTGGTCCTCACTGAAATGGATTTCTTACCCTGATTAGGGTTACTGTTTTCTTTTTCATGTTTATTTACAAACTTCTGGAGAAGTTCAAACATCAAGTGATAGGCAGAAAGACTGAACTAACCACAGGGAATACTTGACCCAGAGATCCTTTTATCCTTTCTTGAATAGCCAAGGGTCAAAAGGATGGTTCTGTTGATAATTTTGTCAAAGGTGTAGGTCTGCAGGTCCTTGTTGATTTTTATTCTTATTAATAATGCTGGTAGTCATAAGCTCTAGCTGACAAGCGAGAGGACACGAGTTCAAGTCTCAAAGCAGTTACTTTGTGAAAAATAATGTCAAATATTAGGTTCATCTGCAATCTTTCCCTCCTAGTACTGCATAGGTGTGACAGAACACTGGGTAGTGCAGTAACAGAATTATGCTGGTAGATATTACAACTGAAATTTATCTTTGCACCTGTATGTCTCTAACATGGGTGTAGATCCAGCTTGTGGAACTAATTACCTTAGTAAACTGTAGGTTTTGAATCTATACCTAATGAAAACAGTGGGCGATGCGTTCTTGAATATGTATAATATCTCTTTGCATGTCATTCTCAGTACTGCACTGTGAAGTTTTGTAGCTTGTACATTCTCGTCATTCTCTACAATTGATTGATAGATTGGTGAGATTTGCTGTTGGATAGTGGACTGGTGGATGGGATGATTGCATCACTTTTAACTTTTCATTGTGCTTCTATACTGGGACTGGTTTAGTGTACTGTCATTTTGTTTTATGCCTAATGTGTGTGACGAATTCGTAACTTTTTAAAATTTTTTGGTCAGAAAAATTGTCCCAGGCTGTTAATTTGTACTTGGCTTCATCATTTTATAATGAGTGCATGCCATATTGTGAAAGTCTAGAAATGCTCTCAAAGATGCTTGTTCGTGTCATTAAAAAAAATGATAGAATCTGTTGGTGGTCAAATAACTGATTGAATCTGTTGGTGATCTGTTTTTACTTCTTGGTTGGAAAACTTGCTTAGGATACTGAATTGGACTTGGTCTGGCTACTTCTTATGATGCTTGTTCTGATTTGTTTCTTCTTGCAGATTTTTTATTTCCCACGACAGGGAATTTCATATTGCCTCTCTGCCGTACAAGCCAGACTTCAAGGTCATGCCCGAGGGTTGGGATGGCACCCCACGTGACCGAGACGAGGTGCACTATGAGATCTCTATGAAGGAAGATGAGATGTTATATCAGGAGTTCGTGCAAAAGATGAACTTTAACAAAATGAAGGTATCCTTGACTCTGCCCTAATAGAAATGAAATGAAAATAAAAATAATATAATGAGGTCTGCTTACTTACTTCTGATAACCATTATTACCTATTCAATAAATTTTCTTATATTTTGCTACTAGAAACTTTAGATGATGTGGTTTTGTGTGTACAGATGGCAGGGAAAGTCAAAGTTCACAAATATAGTAGGAGGCGCCCTTCTGATGGATGGAATTTCACGGTCGAGAAATTGGGGCCGCGTGGTAAGCGTGGAAGTGGTGGCGGATGGAAATTTATTAGTATGCCGGATGGGTCTAGTCGGCCCCTTAATGATATGGAGAAGATGTATGTGAGGAGAGAGACTCCTCGGCGTCGGCGCAAAATTCTCCCATGATACTCAGGAGAGAAAGGCATCATGTTTTAATTATCTTAGTTCCTCAAAGGTCTTTTCAATCTGGTAACGTTTATTTCATTGTTCGAGTTATTAGACACTACTCTGATCTACAGTCCCTTGGTTCTTTCTGATTGTGCCAGTAGCTTTATAAGTATCTTGTGTTTTTGGATTCCATTACTTTTGTAGATTCATAAGTTCAGTTAGCTGAAATGCCTAACTGGAGGCGAAACATAATTGTACCTTATTGGCCCCCTAGTGTGACTTCTGGTGTTGGGTCTGACACCGGATGGCTGTGAAATCAATTATGTTGATTTTGGTCGAATTCAGGTTGGCTATTTTTACTCTATCATAGTTGGCATGATTGACTGGTTGGTTTATTCACACGGTTAGCGTGATTGGGAGTGTGTTAGGCATGATTGTACTCGGGTGTTACCCAATCGCCTAGTTGGTAGTGTACCCAGCTCCCCGAGTGAGTTTGCCCGTATTCGAATATCCCCTCAAAAAAAAAAGGCATGATGGTACTGGAATACTGCAAACTAGCAAGGATTGTGCCTACTAATTATGGCGGGATTACCTTGCACAGAGGCTCGATAAGCGTCCGTGTTTTGGAGTTGGAAGAGAACATAGCTCTCAAGTCGGAGAGGTGATACAGTTGGTAGAGAAACAATAGAGAACGACAGAGCCTATACTGTTTTAAAAATTCTTTCATTTTCTTTTCTTTCTTATGGTGTGGCTTTCTGCTATATGGATAGTTCATTAACCATGCTAATTAACAAATTCTTTCATTTTACTCTTCTTTCTTACGATATCGATAGTTCATAAACCGTGCTAATTAACAAATTCTCTCATTTTCTTTTCTTTCAAAAATTTGTGAAGTGTATTGTAAAATCAATTTTACTGTAACTGTCTGGCCTAAAAGTAAAATAGTGATGATTTTGAGAACACTATGCAAGGTGAGGCACGTCCGTCAACCTGCATTATCCACTGCTTATGCTTTGTTAGGCAGGAAACAATAAGAGAGGGAGAGAGAGTGGAATGCATTATCCATTACATATGCTTTGTTTGGCAGGAAATAAAAAAATTGAATGACAGGGAGAGAGAGTGGAATGCATGGGCGTTCTCTAGAAGAGATGATTGTTTAGTTCTCTAGAAGAGATGATTGTTTAGTTGGACGGGAGAGAAAAGAAAAAGTTAATCGATTTATCATGCAAAAGGAAAAAGATTTTTTATTTGTTTTTATCGATATATGTTTTAATTTGTTGTAATGTAATTTATGAATGAGAGTATTATAATTTAAAACTTTTTTAATAGCCTCTCACCTATCTTTCCTCTCTCTAGACTCATCCACGATATTATTGTCTCTTCTTTCTTTCTCTTCTTTTTAACCGGACAAAAAAGTTTGTTCTCTTCTTTCCATATTCCACTCTTCTTATTTCCTACAGAACGAAGCATAGAGATTTAACTGAAAAAACAAGCACGACCAAAAAAAAAAAAAAAAATCCCTATCACTCTCCAATAATTTAGGCACCCTAAATATGTGGCACATATCTATATATCTATATAAAGACATAAATATTATAATCCTATTTGTAAGGAAGGGGATATCCATGTCTTCCTCTCTCATCCTTCCATCAACAAAACTGACGGACTAATCCGATTCTCGGTTCTTTGCCAAATTGCTTGCTTTGTCCAATCAAAGATATATTATCTGTTTGGTTTAATTAATTAAAAACAATTTTAAAAAATAACAAAAATATATTCAAATAAATTGCTTTTAGAAAACCATCCTTGATTTATTTATTTTTATTATTTTTATTTTTAACTAAACCTATTTTCCCCCTTTTTCCTCCCCCTCTTATAACATTTAATATTGTTGAAAATATTTTGAATGAATTAAAACTATGATACTAAGGCTCTGTTTGTTTTTACGTAAAATTTTTTTTTTAAAAATAAATTTTCTTTTTTGGTTATAATATATATATGTATATATATATATATATATATATATATTTTATTTTTACATTTCGATGTTGGGCAAATGTTTAGGTTGAAGTTGATGTCGAGTTCGAGTCCATCAAATAGGGCGTGAAAAATATTTGTCAAAAATTAATGAATAAGTTATTTTAATTAATTATATATATATATATATATATATATATATATAATATTTTACATCCAAATAAATAGAACTTTAACAATTTTTATTTTCAAAAACTCATCAAAGAAATAAATTTTCGTACCAACTTTTACTTTCAAGTTCTCTAATATAAAAAATACCCCAATGTACATACTCCATAGGAGATATAGATCAAGATAATCATAAATACCCCACTTACTATAAGAGGAATGGGCTAGTTCATTGGATTGGTTGGAAGAAATGACGGAAGGTTGGTCGTTGATCATCACAAAAGCGAATCCTAGGTGAGTAACTAGTTCAATTAGGTTTCAAGAATTCCGAAAGAATTGCGGGGTGCCCGTGTCGAATGGGGCAGCTCGGTATGATGTGGGCCTTCGATGGCTTGGCGATCTGACGGAAAAGCCCTTAGTTTTTTCGACTTTTTTTCCTTGTTCAGAAGAACAACGGATCAGGTGCGGATCGGGTCTTTAATAACCGAGAAGTTGCTACTAACCAGATCGGATCCGAATCTCGATTCGAGCACGAAACTCGGCGCATAAAACGCTTTGCCCTGCGTTTTCGGCGTCCGAGTTCTTGAGAGAGAGAGAGAGAGAGAGAGAGTGAAGAGTGCGCTTCACTAGGCGTAGCGAAGTTGACCAGAGACACCCTAAAACTTCAGGTGCGTACTCTTTGTGGAACTTCTTCAATTCTCTTAAGGATTTTTAAACGATTTTCTGTTTGGGTGCTGAGAAAATGGTGACGAAAATTAATTTTTTTGAAATTTGGATTCCTTCGTTGGTCACACTCCCTCATCGGAGCTGAACGTGCAATATATATGTATGAATATTTGTTTGAAGGTGAAGAAGATTGAAGGTTCTGTACGAATACTTTGAAAAAGTTGTGTGGATTGGAACTGTGAATTTTAAGTTTGCATTTTGTCGGACACTAAAAAACAATCTCTTGAACTCAAATTGAACTAATACGATAACTGGTTTACTTAGTTGTTTTGCTTAATTCAAATTGCTTTTTATAGATAAATGGGCTCATTCATTGCTGTTCCAGTGTTTTATCACATGTTATTGCCTTTATTTCTAAATAAAATCTTAAGATTTTCAAGTACCTTGACAATTTACATCTCATTTAGTGACCCAGTTAATACCTAATTGACCCCTCAACTCGCAATTGAAAGCTCAGGGCTAATAGGAGGTGTGTGTGTTTGGGTGTGTATTAATGCACTATGTGTCATGTTAAAACTATATAAGTATTTTCTACTTGCTAGAAAAAGAAAGAAGATGTTTATATTTTGTACCTTTTCTCGAGGCTAATAGGGGAGGGGTGATAAATTTTCTTCAAGTTTGCTGGTAAAATATTGTCTATATAAATGGGGAATTTAAGTAAACATTTAATTTTTTTTTTGGGTATAGGGTAAATATCTCATCGAGACAAATGGAGCCATAGCTCATTATTATACCAAGGGTGTGCAAAAATTTAATATCTGTTTAATTGTATATGTGTTGATTTGGTCTCTTGTCTACTAATCCTATCTGTTACATTTCTGGTTTGAATCCTTTACCATAGCAGACAAAGCTTCAGAAATTAATCTCTGTAAATATATGCATACTGTTTTAAAGTTGTGAGTTTGGTCATGCAAAAGCAAATACCGTTAGAATTCTTGCTGTTGCGCCCACAAACGTACATAAGGTGCAGGAGTCAGTCTTTAGTTCATATATCCTTGTTGATTGAATCCAAATGACATAATTTGTCAACTGATATTTTAGCTATTAGTGTCAGTAAAGCATTTTTTTAAGGATTTTGGTAGTTTTAAGAATGAAATTTGAGGCTCTAAATGTTACTATATTGGATAAAAGGCTTTTTAGATGTTTTTATTTAATTTATGTTTCCTTAAGGGAGCTCAAAGCTTGTCCTAGTACTCTCTTCAATTTGGTACTCATTGAGTGTCAAGTAGCATAGAATACAAAAGGTATATAATTAACTGAGGAGGCAAGAAAATTTATTTATGGAAACACAGCAAGAACATTTTGAAATACATTACATGTTTTACTGTAATGAGTTTCTGTTCAGAACACATATCTATCAATTTCCACTGCCGTCTTATTCTTCCTCTTTTCACTCTTCATGTTCTTTTCAATTCTTGCAGGTGCAAACTATCTGTTGATAGATTACTGGAAATATGGTTGAAACTCTTTTTGAAGATATTTTCAAGGTTGATGCATTAGATCCGGATGGTAAAAAATTTGATAAAGGTATGTCTAGTAACGTTTATTCCTTCTTTTATAACATTGCCCCAATTCTCATTGTTTCTCATTGAGCACCTACATAGTCTTGGAAATACATAATTGATCTCTGTGCTTGTGTGTCTGTTGGTCCTTCCAAATGTCAATGTTATCTCTTGATTTCCAAATGCTTTGTTTTGGATTGGACTGGATACGAGTTTTATTGAGCTGAAAGGGTATTTAATTCTAGAACATGCAAAATTTTACCAAGATGCTAAAATGACGAGGAAAAATGATATAACAGAAAAGATAAAATTTTTGGTTGGTTCACTGGAAAAGGTAACATTGAAATGCTAGGTTATTCCAAGAGAGTCATCTTGATAATAGGACGGGCCTCTGTTCAGAATGATATGCCCTGATCATGATGTTGAGTTGATTGAGTTCTCTGTTAATTCTCTAATACATTCAGGCTTGGTGATATATGTATATTTAAGTGAATTTACATTTCTGTTTACTTTCTTGAATTTTAAGGAGTGTTTTGTATGCGACGGTTCACGGTTGACTACACCAAATTGGTATAATCTAAGTGGATCTAGTTTTAGTTCATAAAATTATTGTGGTAGTTGGTTCAGGGCCTTCTTTGTAAAAGCTAGTGTTCTTTTTTTGTCTTGTGTGTGGGGGTGGGGGAGCTTGATCAGGCTTAGGTACCTGATGTGTTAGGCATTTGTGGGATTTCAATGTTTATTCTGAACGTTGTAAGATTTTTAATGGGGTTGGATGTGAGGCATAAAACCCAAACACGGTGTGGCTTGAATGCCATTTTAGAGCCTCTAGTTCTAATAGATAACTGTTAGAAGTGCTAGACATTGCTTGGTGACTTGTCACCCTTAATTAGGAATCATCTTGTTGATGTACTGGCATGAGTACAAGCCTACAAGGTACATGACTTGAAAATATATCCAAACAACTTTTGGCATGTTCGGAGTATGCTTTTATGGCTAGAATAAAGTGTAGTTATTAATCTATGACACAATGTATTCATAGGAAAACCAGGGCAGATAACATGCAGTTTATGGAGAATCATGGTTGGTCACTTCAAAGATAAATTAAAAGATTGGAAAACAATACACAGCTTTAGGGAGTAGATAACAAATTACATTGAAGTTTATATAGACATTCTTTAGACTTTTTAGAAACTTTTATTGTAAAAAATAAAGAAAATGTTGTTAAAACTACTTGAAAAATTATATATATGAAAAAAATTGTACATAGAGATACCAAATCAAATACTACATCTTTTTAATGTTCTCTTATTAGAATATATATAATGGATCACATGTAGCGCGTGCCTTACTAGTCGGGGCATAAAGACAATCTTATAGACATTTTCCCGAAAAACTGGCATTACTTTGTTGTTTTATTCATATTGTACAGGGTAAATCCATTATCTTTAAAGTTTTTTGTTCCTCATCCAAAATCTTTGTGTCGTCCTCAACCTCAATATTGGAATTTTTCTTCCTTGTCGGTTATTTATTCAAGTGACATACATTATTTTGGTGAAAAAATATTACTTTGAAAATATAGATTTTTATTTGTCTAGAATAATTCTCTTTATATATTTTTTTTGATAAGTAAGATTTCACTAAAAAGCTCTCAAAGGGGAGTGCAACCCAAGAACAAAGACCATGTGGATGGAGTCGGCCACATGTATTACCAGCACCCGCACTCTCAACATCATCATCATCATTGTCGTCGTCATTCTTGCCTTTATCCCATGTGGATGGGGTTGGCCACATGAATTCTCTTTTTCCAGCCTTTCCTATTATATACCATCTGTTCTCTTAGATTTAATTTTTTTTTTTTTTTTTGACAAGTAAAATTGAATAGAAGCGCTCAAAAGGGGAGCGAAATTAATTACTTCCTCCTATGTAAGTTTTCGTCGGCCTCTTTGTCGTTTACCTTCTAGGCAAACAACTCTTCCTCTTCTAATCGGAGCATCATCAGGTCTACAATGAACTTGACCATACCACCTAAGTATACTTTCTCTAATTTTATCATTTATAGGCACTATATATAATGTTCCCTTCACACGTTCATTATGAATCTCATCTTTTCTAGTTACTCCTATCATCCAGCATAGGATTCACACTCTAATAAAGAAAATTATTCTACCGCATAATTTTCTTTATTAGAGTGCGGCGGGTGCAGACAATACAGAGTTTATCGCATTGCAGTTATGAATCGATATAGTTCTAATTTTCTTTACTAGAGTGCGATGCAGGCAATACAGAGGTTATCGCATGGCAGTTATGAATCGATATAGTCAATACATATGACATAAAATAAAATATTGGTGTGATACTTGAGAAGAACTTATGTGAGACTTTGGTTATTGCTGGATTGGTTTCGGACCACAGATCAGATTAAATATTTGTTCTTTATGTTTAGAAGGCCATTTATGAACAGCTAAGTACAAGCATAAACTGTTGAATACTTATAGTTACCTCTTGGATATTATTAGTGTTACTGAGTGTCACGGTTTGCATGTCTTTAAAAGTATTGATCAACTCTATGATGTTTCCACGGTAGCTGCTTTCAGTGTTTTATGGATCGTCTTAGCTTTCAGCTGACTAGGATATTTGCAATAAAAATTTTGCGATAAACTTTTTAGTGATATATTGTCTATGATTTTTCTTAGTTGTTCAGGTGTGGTAGTTTACTCTGGTAGACCACATGACATGTTTTTCTTTCTTAATATATAAACATCTGGTTTTCAACATGATCGAAGAATTCTTATGACTTCTCTAAGATGTAGTCAAATATAATGTTTGGAGTATTAAGCTAACAATTTAAGAAATGTGTTTTATAGTTTCTCGCGTTGATGCACGGAGCGAGCAGTTTGACATGCACTTACTGCTAGATGTAAACACTGAGATATATCCTATTCATGTTGGGGAGAAATTTATGATGGTACTAGCATCCACTCTAAACTTAGACGGAACACCTGACACTGGTTACTATACTCAGGTAATCTTATCGTTGCTGAAATATATTAGTTGTTTTTTTTTTCTTCCTGAGAACGATGAATTTAGTTTAGATCTCACTTCTTCTTCTCTTACTACTATAAGATGGCTACTTCTTGATCAGGGGCAGAACTACAGTGTGTCAAGGGCCCCTAATTTTTTAAAAAATCCCTTATATATAGGTAACCATTAATGGTAAGTTTGATAAAGAGCTTACATTAGACCCCTTCAAAGTGTATAGAGAATTTCAATTTGGAATTTTTTTTTTCTTATTCAGAAATTTCAAATTTAGGGGGGATAAAATCCATTATTATGGTAATCCTTGCTATAATATCAATTCTCCATTATTTATCACACACGCGCACACATGCATACACAATGAAAAGCTACACAACCATAAAAAGAAACGATAGGTCCAGTTTCTCAGTAAAATGGGAAAAGGCCTCAACGGTAGCCCTCTTTACTTGATGTGTTGCATTTGGAGGAGAAGAATTGGTGGTCTTTTAATCTGCTTGAATCTCCATATGACGGGTCCATTGTTATGAAGAATCTTGATAAATCTGATTGCCTTTTTCAATTTTCACCATGCTCTGATGGCTTTTGGCAAAGACAAGTAAGCAAAACATTGTCACTTAAACCAAAAAAAAAAAAAAAAAAATTGAAGCAAGCAAAACATTGTCTTTTTATCTATGAACTGTTGAACACTGTAGAAGTCTAAGATTCAGTTTATTCTTAAAATGTTCCCTTCCCACTGAAGAAATTTGAAGGTACATCTTGACTTGTTAGAAAAGAGCCTAAAGACAATATATTTGAATACAATTTGATGCATAGTTGTTCTACTCTATCATGTGATGTGCTTTAACAGAAACTCTACTGCTATTCCATCATGATTACGCATTTTCTACTCTTGAATATATGTGCATTTTGGTTATTGTTTTTTGGAATTTTAAGTGAAAGCTAGAAGTCAAGTGTATGCGGATATACAATTCTAAGTTCATGATAGACTTTACACAGGGTAATCCAAGACAGGCAGTTGGAATTTAAAAACACATGGATGATAACCTTCAAAACAAAATCTTGATTCATGATATTGAACTTCAACATGAATGTTAATAGGCACAATTTATGTGAGCGAAGACGTGGTAACATCACTTGCCGAGGACAAGCATCTTGTCAATAACTCCCAGCTTGTTCCAAAATATTGTGAGCCACTATAGTGCTTTATATCTTTACCCAGCATAAAACATGGATATCACTGTTTTGCTTCTGGCATATCATATGGAATACACTACTTTCTTTTTCATATTAGTAGCTCCTCCAACAATACCACAAAATCTTCCATTAGATGGATATCCTGTCCGTTCTCTCTAATTATCTTTATGACATGCAGCCTGTTTATATGGTCAGGAAATCACAAGATGACAATGTATGCCCTAAGCAGTCAACCCAACAGTAAATTGCACGTTGATCTATAGGAGTATCGATTAGCTTTTCTTTCTCAAACAACAGCCATGTTATGTACTTCATATAAATAGAATTCACTCCAAACTTGGACTTCACTATATATATATATATATATATATATTATTTTATAAATATGCTCCAGTCTTGAACCAACTGGGTTCTTCAAGTTGTTTGGGATATTGTAGATATGTGCTAATGATTAATTTCCCCAACATTACTATCTGTTGATAATAATTATTGTACGAGGACAAGGCACCTACTGGCCATCTTAAATTATTAAATGCCTAAGGACACTTCTTTGCTGAATAGTAATTTGATTTCAGGGTGGGCGGAAGACACTTGCAGACAAATTCGAATACGTCATGCACGGGAAGTTATATAAAATATCTGAGGATGGTCCAGGACCTAGAGTCAAAGCGTATGTATGCTGACTTTTATGTGATGTTTCTATGTGTGTGCATGTGAATCTGGGAATGTAGTACATGTTTTATATGTACCCTATGTTTTAGTTCAAGTGATGCAGATGTCCGATAACAATGGTCGGCTATAGATGCAAAGTGGTTCCCTAATTTTTTTTCCTTTCCTATTATTTTTTTGTTCTCAAAAGAACTTGTTTTATTCTCTATGCAAAAGATTAATTTCTGAGACTTATTGGTTTTGGCTTCAGGGAATTGTATGTTTCATTTAGTGGACTTCTGATGATGCTGAAGGGGGACCCCTCCATTGCAACTAAGTTTGAGCTTGATCAGAGGTTGTTTCTCCTAATAAGGAAGGTGTGAGACTCTCTATTAGGACTCATGAAGTGACAACAGTTAAACATGAAATTCTTATGTATTTGCACATGGAAGTACCATAAAAACTCTTTTTTTTTTTTTTTTTTCTTCAGCTTCTACTTGATGGGAAAACTTTGCCTGTGGCACATTCTTCCCTTCTTAGGTTGTTTGTTAACTCTATGACTGTATCAAAGTGTATAAACCCTGCATGTACTACAAGATATTTTGTACACTCTCTCTCTCTAACTTGTGGAACCCACTACATGGTGGTAGACCCTACAAAATTACAATGGGTGAGTCGGTGCTTGCAGGGTTACCAGTGCTATAGTTGGTAGAGTGTCCAGTTTTCTGAGCAGGTGTGCCCGTGTTTGAGTCCCCCCTCCTCCAAATTAGACACTTGATCCGAGCTATGAGACCTCCCTCATAGAGAGTGATCGGGACTGAATACATGATTCGCCATTAGGATCAATCCGATCAATCACAATGAAGACATATCATCAGCTCCATCGACCCTACCCTAGTCAAAGCACATAGCAACACTCTCATGACCCCTTTAAAGCTTCAGCTTTAATTGAAACATTTGTAGTTGTTTATTTTCATGCCTTTCATTTCAAGCTTGTATCACTTGGCTCTTTGCTTTACAAGAATATTTGATTGGCTCAAAGGTTTGGCCTCAGCCAATTTAGAATTTAGACAGTCCTGGCACACCCGCATTGATAAGGACCTAACTACCCAGAGTCCGTTTTGTGCCGACCGTTCGGCTATGCCAATCGACTTGACTAGCACCATTAATAAAATACTGGTAAACATTCTTAGGCTATGATTTAATAAATGCAAATTAGGATTTAGAATATAACCTTGAAAACTTACTTATCAAAAAAAAAAAAAAAATGAATGTAACCTTGAAAACTTATTGGGTAGAACTGCCAACCATTTAACCCAATCCAAAATCCAGAAGATTAATATATATATATATATATATATATATATATATCTATGTCTGTGTATTACCTTTATTATCATTTATAAATTCAATTTTTTTAATAATCATTATAATTTAATTTCAAAATGTTAAAGCAACTTTATTATAATTATAAATCAAATGTTTTAATGTACCAGTGATGTTACACCCATTTCCAATTCTGTCGATCAAGTTTATTTGTGTCTCAAATATTTGGGCACAACTCAAGGTAGGCCTGCCCAAGTCCGACCTCTGAGGCTAAGAAGGCTCAAAAGCCTAACAAAAATTAAAAAGAAACCTGTACAGGAGAAAATAATATGTGTGTGTGTGTGTTTCAACCAAGGTCGAGGGGAACGTTGAGTCACGGTGGAGAGGGTTGTATTTCTTCATCATGAATTTGTTGAGGCAAGGGAGTTTCGAAGATCAGGTGTAGCAATTGAATGCGAGTTATAGCTTGTTAAAACAATGTGTTACAGACTGTTTGTGTTAGCACAATAAGGTAGGGTAGATCAGACTTTTGTGTTGGTTTTGTGGCGCTTAATTTTCTCATCATTTTTTTTTTATGCCTTTTCTAGTTTCTATTTCTTCTGCTTTTTGCCTTTTATTGAATTCTTTGTTTTTTTCAAGTACTAGTCCCCTCTTTTCTAGACCGCTGAATGGAGGGCTAATCTCACTTTCACACACACACACACACACACACAGAAAAGCTGCACTTTGTTCTATTTTATGCTTCTCCGGTTATAGGCTCCAGGCTTGCTTTTGAATTTTTTCGCATATTTATCACTCATTTTATCTACTAAACAAAAAAATAAAACATTTAAATCTTCTAAAAAAATCTTGTAACTCGGGAGTTCTTAGCATTTCATTGTAGCATCTATTGGGTTTTAGTTTGATTTATTTTATTTTATTTCTGGTTTACAGAAAGCTTGAGAGGTGCCGCTTGTGAGAGTAAAGCATGTAGGAGACATTTTGTATGGTTTGATCTTAAGTTTTCGGACAACAAAATGTCTTCTGTTACTTGGATGACAACCCTTTCATGTTCAAGCGAGTTGCATTAAGGGTAATATGAGAAATTTAATTTATTCAGTACATGACCTCAGCAAATTCCGTTATTGACTGTTAAAAAGGGAGGTTTGTGTAGCAACATTTCATTTTTAATGGGATGATAATAAATTCACAAACTCAGCAACCAAGAAACTTTCAATCAGATATTATTTATCTTCTAGTCTAACAATAACTGTTTATTTAAGGCTAACACGGTTCTTGACAAAATATAAAAAAGATTCACAATCATATACCATACATTCTGACAGATTTTAGTAAATAAATAAGTCTAATCTACAATTTAATACGAATTGTAGATAACAAGCCCAGTAATTGAATTGAAAAGAATGGAAGAAAGGAAAATGCTTTCAGTGGATAACGCGAAAGTGACGATTCCCCCCACCTCCTGGTAAACAAGGAAGCCCTAGAAGCCACGAACTTGATTGATCGAAAACTATTTGATTTCCTTCCTCTTTTATGCAGATACCTGAGAATTTCCTGCTTGCTTCTTCAATGCAGGTTGATTCTTGAAACCTAACATCTTGTTCAACGCATTTATGTAGGCTCGGACACTGGACACGACAATATCCATTCCTGCTCCAGTTCCACTGGCACCAAAGCATGAAAATCACATGATTTTAACTTTGTAATTTTGAATAACATAAAAAAAATAGGCTGAAGTATAAGATATGATTAAGCATGTGGCATTCTGACTCAAGATACAGAGGAGCACTTTAGGAAAAAAAAAATGTGGAAACAAGCGTAGGTCAAACCTAAATGTACGATGGAAAGTCTCTCCAGTCGAAGCATTAGTCGAAGTGTGATTATTTTCCCCACGAATTAAAACTCGAGTTGTGGCTATTGCATCAATGCCTTCCGTGACTGCATTCAGTGAGTACTCAAGAAGGGTCACAGGTGCCTGCATATATAGAGAGAGAATAGTTCGTCACACTGAATCTGTCATACTAAAGCAAAAGATGGATGTTTGTAATAGGGAAAAATGTCCATTGGCAAAAGAAGGGATCATAGCACAAAAAACATGGGTTTCATTCTGTAGATGGCTTCATAAATAAATATATAATACACTCGGACTTTAAAACTTTTTTACAAGAAGAAATAAGAGTTTATAGGGAAATCAAAGATTTTTCACAAGTTGGATCAAGATTTATGGCAATGGACTCTAAATTGCTAAAAGTGTTTTAACAGCATTCGTCCAACAAATGCTATGGGAACACATAGGATCAAGGTAGGCAATTACCATGTTGGCAGCATAATACAACATGTCATCTTGGTTTCCATATGCCTGATTTGCTTCAAGCATCAATAAATTATTTGATGATCTAGTATTTAAACACACAAGATACCAATTCTTTCAAATGTAAAAGCAATCCATTAAGTGTGACAAGGGGCACAACCAAGTTCACATGTAGTATACACGTGAACCAAACCACTAATGATAAAAAGCAAAAGCTAAAGAATAGGAGGTGAGTTTTGACAAGGAAAACTACTACTTAACCAGCCTAATGTACCCAACAAAATATCAAGATTATACGTGAAACTAACAACTCCTATGTTAATTATAACTACTCAGCACCTTAAGATACTCGATCATTAACCAACCACCTTCAAAAATGCCCTGCCTCCTCACTTCTCAAAGTTAACTATACAGCTTCTTGAGCTCCCTCTTGTATCTCTAGATTGACCAGTATCTACTCTTTGGTTGGTTCATGCATTCCTTTTTCTTGCATCATTTATTATTATTATTTAATCCCAGTAGAATACTGTGGAGAAAAATTATTGCAAATTTTCAGTTTCAAACCTTCACAATGAGATCAACAGCCTTATAAGCTGAATCAACTGGCCCTGTTCCAGTCGAACATTCAACATGCTCTTGCCCATCAGCATCAATGAGTCTAACAGTTGCAGTGGAAAGACCAAGAGTTCCGCATGTAACCTGTGTTTTAGTTCCCCTTCAATTGGTTGAATTGTTATTTAAAAAACAAAGGATTAAACTGAATAATGAACAACCATGTTGAAACATGAAAGGGGGTCTATATTAACCTGCACATCTCCAAGCTTCCAAACAACTTGTGGCTGGAAAACTACATCTGACACTAGTGCTATTATATCATCATCAGTAATACTCTAGCAAAACAACAAAGAAAATAGTTAGTGGAACTTGAACACAAAATCTAAATGCATGCAAAAATGCAGCTTACTTTCACCATTAAATCATATTTCCACAAACAACTAGTAGTTGGAGCTTAGGAGGCATAAAAAAATTTGGCAATGTCTATATGAAACAAATTCCAGACATTCATGTTACTAGATAATGAATGCTGTTTTAAGCTTGACATACTATACAGGACAGAGAAGAAACCCAAGCAACTTGAGGAAAGTTCATAAGAATACCCTTTTCGTTAATCTTTAACACAATTTATAAGGTGTTATCAAAGAGGACATTGCCCAAAGAAAAATGACGAAATGTCAAGATGGCAACAAGATCATGATTACAGGGACATTGGGACTTGGACATAGCAACTCACCACAACCTGATATTCTGAGAACATGGACAGCTAAGTGTGTTGTGTGACAATGTAGGATGAAACACACACTACAGATGCCTAAAATAAAGTATTATTAGGCTAGGGTTTTGATTTCTGAGGTTCTTGATTGAGAAGATAAGATTAAGGTTTAGGGACAGAATAAGGGTCAAACTCGTTGAAATTTAATGTTTTTCTTGGTCTGAAAACAAAGAACAATGCTAATTGGACTTTTTGGACAGCAAAAGAAATTAAGGCTCTAGAAAGAATGTTGTAAAATTAGGAGAAGGGTCATTGAGTCAAAGGTTCAAGACCATTTATAGTTCTTAAATATGCATCTTGACGGTGAAACTAAAGATGGAGAAGGAAGGGGAGAAAAAAGAGAAGATGAACCTTAGAATCTCTTTCACACTTTCTGGTTATATCACCATGAAACTATGAACTCCTGTCATTATCAGTTTAAAAGATCTGCAGATAGATCTCATTAAACAATTATGTCAAACTATCTCTACAGGATTCGTCTATAAAAGAAGCACATCAACCCCAAATATAACCTTAGTAATTAAAAGATTTCGTGAATAAAACAGATTAACTAGTTCCAAAGGCAGAAAGAACTTATATTACAAATATAAAGTTACTAAACTCCATAACCAATTAAAATAATAGAACAATCCTGTTGCAGAAAATTTTCTATCTGCATACCAAACCAAGGTCAAACCTCAAACCTTGTTGGTTCACTAAAAAGGAAAAGAAATGCTCACTGGTAGGGACCGTATAAGGTTTTTCCCTTCCTTTTTTCCCCAAACATATGCATTAAGGGGTCAATATCCATCAGTTTGTCATGTGCACGAAAAAAAAACTATATCATATATATCTTTATGTATGTTTGAGCGTGCTTTCATGAACAGGAACCATACACAGTGTGACAGTGAAACAATAGTGATACTAAAAACTAAAGATAAAGTTTGTTTGCAAAAATGCAAAACAATCTTGTAGTTCTGCTAATCTCTAAATAAAATTCGACATTCTCTTATATGTCCACAGAAGGGGTTAAAATATTGTGACAAAGAAGTCATATATCCAAATATCTGCCATACAATTCTTTTTTTGATAATACGACATACAATTCTCAATAGGGATAAATGGTGTGTGCTCACTTGAAGCAGTTTATTGTTAAAAAAATTGGATCTGAGCTGAACTAATAAGAAGGATCCTGAAGAAGAAGATGCAAACAATATATAAGGATTAAAATAAAATGCAGCCAATGGTCTGTTTCCCCATAGTTCTACATGATTCACTCAATCTGGCCCCACTTCAGGGTCATTCTCATTAGTTCAGCTATTTCCAGCCTATCCAATTTCCATTATCAATTCAATGTTTATGACCTTTAGTTTTGAACTTTTGACATTGATATTTTTTTTCTGGTGATCAAATAAGCTTAAACATGAGTTTTGGATAAATAAAGTTTAAAAATATTTAAATTCAAGTACAACAAAACTTAATTTACTGGGTAAAGGTACGCCCACTGGAGTGAACATCAAATGCCAACTACACCAACAATTAACACTTCTGTTCATACTACAAGTTCTGACTAATTCAAATAGCACACAGCGCTTTAAGAAAAGACAATTTTCAGCCAACTGCATCTTAAAACAAATCAAACTACAGTACTTGGATACTCAATATTACAAATTTACAATCACATAGACTAGTTGACGAGCTGAATTACAACTTTGTCTATCTCTTTTCTTCTCCACTATCTCCTGTGCAAAGATGGTGCACATGATTTATGAAAGATAAAAATATATGGTCAACGTTCTGACTTCCTTGTTCCCCCTATTAATAAATTTGTCTTATGTACTCAATGACAAATAAAACTAATGTTCAAATGGATCAAATTATGCACTTACCTCTGCAATTAATAATAACCACAACTGAATTCAGACATGTGAAAGTAACACAGAAAAATCTCTTTTTACCTTTTTCTTCTCAGCTACAGCTTTGAAACGCCAAAAGAGATCATCAAGTTCCTTACCATCAATGTCATAACCAAGCTGAAAAGGTAGTCAAAGAGTATAAATGCATGAAGCCAAATATATATATATATATATATCAAGCTAATCAATTCTCTACAGACAACATGAAAGGTACACTCTACCTCCAAAAGTCGAGCTTTCAGAGCATGACGTCCACTGTATTAAAATTTTCATGAAAAAAAAAAAGGTTATAATGTTCTCCATGGAAGAGCTCTCTGAGTGTGTGTGTGTGTAGACAGAGTTGATGCACCAAAGCAAACATCGTAAGACCATAGAAAATATCCAGATAATAATCACATCATTGCATTTCAGTACATTGAGGAGCACAGAAAATTTTCAATAACCAACACTCTGTGGACACTCCTAGACACATGTCCTATACCTCATGTATATTTTCATTCTTCAAAAATAAATTTTAGATTTCAGGCACTTGGTCTACACAATAGAGTGTCAAATTTCCATATTTCAGGCACTTGGCTTACACCCTACAGAAACATTAACATCACCTATTTTATAAAGCACAAACAAATCTTAAAAGGAGCCGCATCCAACAGTTACGAAAACAAGATGAACACACTCCAAAAATGTCAAACCCCTCTTTCTATAAGAAAATTAAACATATATATAATGACAAAAATTATTTTAGGAGACGTGATAGTATTTTCAACTAAAAATCTTTATGATATTTGCCATGTTTCTTCTCCTAGGTTATGTAGTTCTGAGTTTATAGATTTGAAATTAATCAAATTTCAATAGTTATGTTATACATATATTTTTTTGATAAGTAAAAATGTACTAAAAAACGTTCAAAAGGGGGATGCATCCCGAAAGCTACACAAAGGCCAAAGGCCAAGAGGGATCCTAGGGACCAAAAGAACCCAAAAAATCAACTATTTCCTCTATAGACTTACAATTTCTCCCCATAACCCAGGAAAAAAGAGAGCTAACAATAAGAGATTTTATTGCCCCAATAGAAGATTCCTCTCCATCAAAGGATCTTCTATTCCACTCCTTCCATAAACACCACCAAATGCATAAGGGCGCCACCCTCCAATAATTGTGATTGTGGGATCCCACAAGGCACCCTCTCCAAGCATCAATCAAGCCTCTCGAAGACTGAGGCATGACCCACTGAACGCCAAACAAGCCAAAAAGGTGACCCCAATACATGCATATTAGTATTAAATATTTATATTGTCGTATCTACGCCGTTTCAAGATCCTACCTTTTCAGGATTCAATGAGTTAGCATATCCGAATCATATTGTATCAGTGAATCCTGTCCGTGTCAGATTTACTTAGAGTTCAATAACAAAAATATGTCAAGCAAGTGGTTTGGCATAGGATAATGCTTATTCAAGATTCAACCGTGCAGCATTACACATGAACCCTGCAAAATGAGTGGCCAAAATCCAAGAGCCTACCTTAAGCAAATCATGTGTGTTTAAATGTGCGAGAAAGATAGGGAAGAAAGACAGAATCCAATAGACAAAAACGTCGGAAATTGTACAGAAGTTCCCATATGAATAAGTTAATATGTGATAATTACTCAAATCCAATTTGACGACAACCACTTCTATTACTGCCCTCTAAAAATGGGGATGACAATGAACACCACTTCAGACATATACATGGAATATTTGTTAACAACCAGCTATGTACCGGGACTCTCCTATTCCCCCTAACGTACCTGTATCAACATGACACGACATGGGTATAATGGGTATGAAATATGTGTCCGGCACACAAACCGAAACCGGACAGCTGGCTCTAATCTGATGATGGAAGAACAAGAAAACCTCAAATATGATAGCAAGGAAGGGTTCTCTCTCTCACTCTCTTTTAATTTTCGTGATTGAGTACATTATGAAATAATAATAGCCTCGTGGGTTATACTTTTATGTAACATAATATATTTTTTGTGTACTACACATCCACAATCCACATATCCATATCCAAGTTTTGGGCGCATTTCAATCTGAGTCCACGTATCCGAAGATTTAGGATTTAAGGGAGGTCTGAGTCATCTAACATTTAGAAGATGGGAGAGGAGGATTTGTTGATCAAACATTCCTTTGGTATTTGGAAGATCACGGAATCAAACAACAATTCTCTTGCCCACATACACCGTAAAAGAGGAATATTTCTGAGCTTGCACATACTCCTACCCAATACAAGTACCTAAGTCCAAAAACATAGAAAACCAGCAGTAGATACTCAGTTCACTAAAAACTAAAATTATCAACTTCATATTCCCTTCTCACATTTAGTCATCATTTTCTTCACACTAAATGGTTTGACCGAAACAGAGCATTTGGTATATTATTTTCCCTTTTTCTTTTATTTTATTAAATTGAGAATTGGCTTGAATCCTGCCAAAAAAATTCTTTAATTTCAGCACATATGAGAAACTTAGCCCACAATGTCAGGTATAATTTGAGTTCACAAAATTAATGCCAAAGTGATAAAATAGTAAAATACATATAGGATACGCACACAAATAAATACTTCTTCGTTCTCTGCAAAAATGCATTGATTTTTACCACAAACGACATTTAACAAAGAAAGAGGGTAGACAGTAAGATGAACAATTGACTTTTGAGCACAAACAAGTGCCAAAGGGAAAGGGTGAAAAATTAGACAGGAAAGAACTAAATCCAATAAAATAAAACAAACTATCTACAAAATAAAAAAAGGAGAAAACATAAAGAAGACATAAATTCTTTAAGAAAGTCATCCAGAAGAGTCTGGGCCTACATTTGATTCTCTTGACAGACTCAGCAAAATAATTCCATAGTTCTTAAAATCTATCAGCCTCTTTAAGATCTATATGTTCAAATAGCCCTGCAATATTGCCTCTCTGAATTCCTTTCTTTAAAAATCCCATTACAAGCGACTGCTTCCTAGTTGATGAATTTTCCAAAGGATCAATTAAACTTCTCTAAATTAATTAGGAAGGGTTGCTCAACACAAAGAGCGGCAAAATTATCAGGGTGTAAATTCTTTAAGAAAGTCATCCAGAAGAGTCTGGGCCTACATTTGATTCTCTTGACAGCCACAGGATAATAATTCCACAGTTCTTAAATTCTATTAGCCTCTTTAAGATCTATGAGTTCAAAAGGCACTGCAATATTGCCTTTCTGAATTCATTTCTTTAAAAATCCCATTATAAGCGACTGCTTCCTAGTTGATGAATTTTCCAAAGGAGCAATTAAACTTCTCTAAATTAATTAGGAAGGGTTGCTCAACACAGAGCTGCAAAATTAACAGGGTGTTAGACCAGGAATTGGTTTACAAAACTTGGACATTAATATACAATGGATGAATACAACTTATATGCAAACAACATATATGGACTAAGAGTCAATTCTTGATGCCTGAGTGACATGGCCAAATGAACCGAGCAACGGCTATGGGGTGCAAATTATAGGTAAAACAGCGTATATGGGCTAAGGGCCAATTCTTGATGCCTGAGTGACATGGTCCAATGAAACATTATTTGTTGTTTCTCTAACAACCCATTATCATGTGCTAGAGGATATGTGGAGCTCGGGAGTATTGCTGCATGTGAAGGGCGTAACAACCTGATGAGCAAGGAGGGGTCTACAAATAGAAGAATGGATAAGGAAGAAAAGTAGTGAGACTTAGGCGGTATGGAAGCATAGTTCTGAGCTCTCTGACTCTTGTCTGGTACTGATAATGGATGTGATCCTCACTCTTCACTTCATCTCCTTTCATTGCTCTAAATTTCTGAGTCAATTCACGGCGAAAGCTTCCCTTTCCCTTTCTCTATCATTTTCCTTTTCTTTACCCACACGGGAAGAAGTAGAAATTCCAGAACTTGAATTTAGAATTCAGATGAATCCCACTAGAAAGGAAATTATCAAGGGCCTCAAGGCCCAGCAAGAAACTGGCTTAAGCACTCTCAATCAATAGTTCTGCCAATCAGAAGGTATTAGAAAAAATTACATTTAATTGGAGCAACAAACAAAATTGACTTGGACTAGATGAGTCCAAGGAAGTCATCGAGCAGTGTTGTAACATTATATGGGGAAGTTCCACTAACATTTAAACACATGAGAACAAGAGCTACAAGAATCTCAATGTATAAAGAGGAGTCGAATGGGCCTGAAATGAACTGACAAATACTTTTCTATTCTAAAGTCTACTGGTCCAAAGGAAAATGCACTCCCTATCATAAGTCTAGTGATCAAAAGGCACCCCAAATGTTACACTTAATTTGTCATCCCTTCAGAAATATATACAAGTTGTCAAGAAGCACATCTGAAGCCAAATCCATTTTGTCCCAAAAAATAAAGGTATAAGAACTTCAGCAGCTAGAGAAAATGATCCAATCAAGGAAAGGATGACATCAAATGGGAAGAGTGGATGGTTAGGGTTTCACAACTTGTATCATTATTCTTCTTTTAGGAGGTTCAAACCCATATCCAACAGCCCTAAGATACTGAAGCATAGAGCAAGAATAGAAGTTAGAGCAGGAGAAACATGCGATTTTGACAATCTCTTACAAATTTGAATAGTCAACTGTGGCAATGTATTATATAGGCATGTACCTATACATATATATAGTTACATGACAAATTATATATAATATACAATATACTACAAAACTGAAGCAAAAAAAACTATAGTAGCTTAGTGGTTCACTGAGGTAGTGAAAACACCTATCTGTGTGTTTTTAGTTCTGGGCTAAATTTTACCAATATTTGTATGATCCATTAGCTACAATTTTTGAGAGAAAAAGAGGCCAAAAAAGGGTCAAAATGTGTTTTTTTATTGTCTCCTGAAACTCTAACAACGAAAACCAACAAGGGGAAAAAAAGAAGGAAAAAACCACCAAACAGGCACTTAGATTTCACGAGAGGTCTTAGTATACTAGTGTAGTGCTGCAAGTGCATATCTCCGGCAAAACCTCAGCAGTTAAATAAACTCTCAAATCCCACATTCAAAATCAAATCACACTTCATTTTATGCAAAATTACAAGTTGAAGGCTGATAAATGGTGTTTCAGAATACATGCAAATTCTTGTGCCAATTTCTCAATAAATAAATAAATAAATAGATATTCAAAACAATCTAAATACAAATCGACAAGCAAACAATCTATAAAGGAGACAAGTTGGAAGAACAATACCAATCAGTAATTAAGCTAACATACCTAAGTTTTCCAAGGACAATACCAGATTCATTAGATCGATAAAGCCCAATATCTTCAGGAGAGATGATCTCATATGTTTGTTTATGTTTAAGCATTCCATCCTACAAAATAGAGAGCATACTAAATCAGTTATATGAAGATCAACTACACCTTTTTTTTTTTTTTGATAAGTAGAAGATCAACTACACCTGCGTCATGTTTAGTGCCTTATCTCAACGCAACTCCAATTCATGAGAAAGGAGGAGGGTTGCATTGGGTAGCTTGACAGCCACTGCAAGACTTTGTCAGGACCAATATGACGATGAAGTAGTCGGGAAAATATTTTATTTTTTGTTGATGTTAGAAGTTTAATTCGATTAAATGAGAACTTGAATACATAGCTTTTGAAAAGGGACCAAGACAAAACCACATGCTCACTCTAACTGGTAAGATAACTTGAATGTGTATATATACAAATGAACACATTAAAATCAAGAAATCATTGACAGACAAAGTTGAAATTAGGAAGAATCTGAGCAAAACACAGAAGAGAAGATATGCATCTTAACAATTATGGAGAGAAAAATGTCAAGCAGCCTTTTCATTAGTGGTCTTCTAGGAGGGTTTCCAAATATATCTCAGTTATCCAACTTAAAGGTTCTGGAGGGGATAACGAATCGTAATACATAATTAACAAAAAATTGTACACATTGGAAACAGATCGACAAAAGGCAAAACTGGAAGCACAAAGCTCACAGTGAAGAAAGATATAGAATAATGATTGAAGGATACTCTGAGCCGCAATATAATTGAGTAAGAAGATACATTAATGACAACAGCCATTAACTAGTGAGGTGTTAATGCAAACAACTCTGCATGAATTTTTCCTTTTTTTTAGCAAACTTCTCCAACCTTATATTAACAGTAAAAAGGCATGACAAACTCAAGCTCAAGTTAGTAATGTGTTCACTCAGGATCATTTGAAAAAAAAAGAGAGCAGCAAATAAAACAAAAACAGAGAAGCAGAGAAAAAGAAGAAGAAAGAAGCTGCCAAAGGGAGGGAATAAAAATGGGGAGCAGAACTGAGAAAATAGAAACTGCCAATGGGGGAAGAAGAAGACAAGGAGGAGGAGGAAGAGAGAGGAACAAAAAACAGAGGAGAGCTAGGAAAAAGAAGCTGCTGAAGAAGTAGAGTAGTAGTAGAAGAAGAAGAAGAAGAAGAAGAAGAAGAAGAGAGAGAGAGAGAGAGAGAGAGAGAGAGAGAAGGGGGGGAGGGAAAAAAAGCCATAAATCACAGACTGACTGAGAAGGAGGAGGATAGATAGAGGGAGAGAGAGAGAGCTTACTGGAGAGAAGCAGCTGCCACAGATAAGAGAAGTCCCAATCATTTCCATTGCACGCCAAAGATGAGAGAAGTTCCAATGATCCAATCTCTGCAATCACACCCTAAATCTTTTTTTCCCCCCCGGAAATTATAACACCCTAAATCTTTAGTAAAGTAATTGGTTAAGTTACTAAAGACCTCTATAATATTTGGTAGAGTCCACTGTAAATTATGTGCACCAACCACACTTGTGCTTCGTTCGGTAGGAAGGAAGGAAGAGGGGTGGAGGGAAGATAGGAAGGAATGAACAAACTTCCTTCATTCGGTAGAGAGGAGACAAGGAGAGAAAGGATAATAGGATGATGAGTCATCCTTCCTCCTTTGCAAATTTCATCCCTCCAAATATGGGTGGAAGAGAGGGGGGAAGACAAGTGGGGCTATTATCAAAGTTTTAAAATACAATACTATATAGATAGTGATGGGAATAATGGTAAAAACAATTTAAAACTCTCTCTTCCCATCTCTCGTAACGAACAGAGTAAGTTGTCAGCTTCTTTTTTATCCACCATTTAACCAAACAAAAAGAGAGGAGGACACAATCTCTTCTCTAGGGATGTCTCATCTATCCTTTCTTCTCTCTCTTCCATCCAAATTTTTCCTTCCTACCAAACGAAGCACTAAACAAGTAAAGAAAAAAAATAGATGGGTTCAATCAGGCATGTCTCAAAGGCGCCTCGCGCCTAGCCAATAGGTGCACGATTGAACTCACCTCGCCTGGACTTGCACTAGACTAGGCGCCACAGCTGCACCTTGATGCACCTATGGCACGACCAGGACATATTAATCATGACAACCATTGATTAATTAGGTTTTATTAATCTAATTTTTTCTAATGAGGTGTTATTAATGAAAATAACTTTGCATGGTTTTGTTTTCTCGACAAACTTATACAGCCTTATGGAGCCCTTGAAGAGGAAATGAACAGCTCGAGCTCATTCAGGCTCCTTATATAATATATCTGTCTTGACCTAATGATTTAAGAGTGTACCTGGCCTTCTTTTTAATTTACCTTCCTCTTCCGTCATAAAGGCACCCCATACCTTTGTACCTTTTTTTTTTTTTTTTCTTTTTCTTTCTTTAAATATAGGTTCTTTTTCAGAAAAGATTTAAGGAAATTTTAGTGGCTCTCTTTGTACAATTCTATAATATTTTTCCAATCATCACCATCAATCATGATGGTTGGTAGATAATTGTAAACATGTCCAATAGAAAAGGTTCTTCTCTTTGCCCATTTTTATTGATACGAAACAAGATATAAATTATATAACACAAGGGAACATCACACCTGATACCTCCTTAGGTAAACAGAAGTACAAACAGTGCAAGAATAATCAACTATATTTTAACAGGCATTGTAGGTCAGTGGTTTAATGCTTGCATGACATTTTAAGGGGAGGGTGTCGTAAAAGGTTTGATTCTTATTGTTGAAAAAAATTAGATAAAACAATACTTCCAAAGCACTAAATGAATTTGTATGGCAAGAATGTGCCAAAGCAATCCTCCTTACAAGACCATAAGACAACAACAATCAAAATTCATAAGTTGAAATGTGAAGCATCGTTGGCAACAAAGTCACAAGAAGTTACAGCCAGCAAAACTGAACTTATAGGTTCAAACATAATACTTGTAGCTATGCTAATACCAACCTGATGGATTCCGCTTTCATGAGCAAAAGCATTTTCTCCAACAATAGCCTTGTGTGGCTGAACATGCAACCCAGTGTACTCTTCTACCTAGATAGACAAAATGTTAATTAAGAAAACGCAAGTATATCAAATTGAAACAAGATGAAAACAACTTCAATATGTTGCAAATAGATCTCAGAAAGAATACCATCTTGCTTGCCATAACAATGTGTTTTATATTGATCCCGGTATGAAGACCTTTTAGTACTTCCTGTCCGCGACATTTCAGTGTCATTACAACCTAAATAAGAAAGAAAAGGAAGCACCATATAAATCAACAGAAACTTAAATGTCTAAAAGATTTTTAAACAAGATCCAAGGCACAAAGGGAACAAGAACCTCAAAGGGACTCAACTCAAGAACCTTAAATTAAAACTTAGAAGATAGCATTCGTGATTTATGTTGAATTTTTTTTTCCCTAGTTGATTTATGTAGCAAAATTCATCAGTAATACTGTCCAAAAACCGTTACTAAAAATCACATAATATGAACTCTTTTGTTATTTTTAAAAAAATATTTATGTTTCAGATTAGGCTTCTTAATAAACATGAGGTGGCACAGGAGAGACAATTAAGTATAGGAAGGTGCGTAAACCACTTTATAGTGTACAACAAAGATCCACCACCTAAAAAATTTCAAATATTAGAGACACACTGCAAAGTTGTCACGTGCATATTAAGAAATTTCAAGAAATTTCTAAGTGGTTTCAATCTTACATTGGACCCACCCTTGTTCAAAGATCAACAGCTAGCTATGTGACTGTTCTCTTTTGCCAAAGGTATAAAACAAATATCAAAATACTTATGTCTCTGTTCCAAAAGGTTTGGGCATTACATGGATTGGTTAACTAGATACAAAACACGCCTGGTACATGCATGTGAGCACATGTAACATACATACAAGACCAGACATATTGAGCACAAAAAACACAAGACTACATATTAAATCTCTAGAACCAAATCTACAGCCAGGAATGAATGATGGATAATGAGGAGGAATATTCTTATCTACTACAACAATTGCAGGAATCCAAAGGGAATATTTTCGGTCCTAATGGGGACACCCTCCATTACAAAAAAAGAAGAATTGCGCATACGTATACCATCAATGGTTGGGAATGAATCTTGAGTAAACCTGGTAGGAAATGAAAAGCAACTAGGAAAACAAAAAATCTTGCATAATCATCAACCAAAGGCTCAAAAGCCTATTATTGAAACTAAAAATGCAATTTCATGACAAGATTGCAATTGAACAAATATGCATAGGGCTTAGCTAAAATAAAACCCCTCTTAAAGTAGCACCTTAGAGCAATAGAAGTCCAAACCACATGGTTGACATCAAAATGGATTTCATGATATATAGAAAATTTGACATTGGAATATGACCACACTCAAGCAATAGAAGTGAGCATATTATGTTTTTTACTCAAATTTTGCATCAAACATATACACAATCCATTTGCTATTTATAAGACCAACATGCACCTCTTCCAAGGAAGCGTTGCCAGCTCTTTCACCAATTCCATTGACTGTTACTTCTAATTGTCTTGCGCCTGCGCATGCCCCCTGAATTCAGATGAGCTAAGATATGAGTGCAACTCGGTTTTGGCAACCTGCCACCAAATGTAAATACAAGGATGTGATTATGCAACTGCATACCGCTAATGTGTTCGCAGTAGAGAGACCAAGATCATTCTGGCAATGCGTTGAGATGATCACATTTTCAATTCCAGGGGTGTTGGATATTATATCCGCAATTAATTGTCCAAATTCATGAGGCACAGTAATGCCAACAGTATCAGGGATGTTGAGAGTTGTTGCCCCAGCTTTTATTACTTCCCCTAGAATTTGATAAAGAAACTCCCTCTCAGATCTATCGACACCAAAGTAAAGAAAATTTCATGTTAACAAGAAGCAAATGAAAGAAAAAAAAAAAAAAAAAAAAAAAAAACAGACACTGGAATTGTTGCAGGCAGTTTCTAAATTAATTAGGAACGAAGAAGTTCATAAAATAATCACATATATTTTACCTCCAAGTGTTACAACTAAAAAAGATTTACCTTAGAAACAAAAGAAATGAACAAAATCAGCTACCAAAAAGTAATTTTCTAGAAAACTTAAGTGACTATATTTAGGTTTCACGTTATCAAGCCCTTTTCCTGTTCCGTTGTTTTGGTAAATTTACATTTACAACATATGTCACACAATCCTTCTCAACCGGTGTCACTCTCACGCTCCAAGCGCGCTTTGGCTCCAATTCTCACTATTTATGACTAAATTCTGTCGCTCTCACGCTCCCGCTCCCGCTCCTGCTCCCACTTTATGTGACCTAGTTTACAACCATTTGAAAGATTTAGAAAATTTTCCACCTCACGAGTAATTTACAAATTATTCTGAAAGTTTTAACGTCCTTGAAATTTTTTTTTTTTTTTTTTTTTAAAAAGAACATGTACTAATGATTAGTTTATGCTTTAAATCATAAATCAATATTTTAGGGAAATTACCAACAGATCCTAATTCCCCCCTCCCCTACCCTCCCCTCCCCTAAAGACAGATAAGTGCTAACAAATTTCCAGTAAGGCAACATGATAAATGTTTACAACAATGTCCACATGAGTTTATGCCTCACATCAGCCACATATATAGACCACTATAATACAAATTCACAAGTCCCACCAAGTCATGCAGACCCAAAAAAGTTATTATAACTTTTATCTTCTTTTTGGTGAGAGAAATTAACAATGTTATCACCAAGAGGACATGAAAATGAAGGTCCAACAATAACTAAGTGTTCAAGTTTTTTTTTTTTTTTGATAAGTAAAATGTATTAGAAGGTGTTCAAAAGGGGAACGCGTCCTAAGCTGAACAAAAAGAAGAACAAAGTCTATGACTCAAAGAACTCAAGAGGTCCACAATATCCTCAAGAGAAGAAAAATCTCTCCCCCAACCCCAACAAAAAAGAGTACAAATAATAGAAGACCTGACTGGCCTAGCTGACCACCCCCCTCTCTCCTCCCCAAAGCCACAAGAGGCAACCCTTCTCCATAATCTATGTCTTTCACTGCCAAATCTCCAAAGCCACTTACCAAGAAGAGCACTGTTGAAGGGGGCCAATCTCCTAATCCCAAAGCCTTCCCAACTGAAAAGGCCGGCAAACCTGCTCCCATTTGACAAGATGATACTTAAATTCCTCTCCGTGACCCCCTCAAAGGAAGTTACGTTGAAGCATCTCAAGTCTTCCAACAATAGAGGCTGGAGCCCGAAAAAGCGAAAGAAAGTACATTGGGAGGCTTGACAAAGTACTTTTCACTAACGTACTTTACTTCCCTTAGAGAGATATTGCTTTTTCCAACCAGCTAATCTTCTCTCAACCCGCTCAATCACCGGGTCCCAACTTCCCACCCTCCTAGCCGAGTCCCCCAGCAGCAAACCCATATACGAGATAGGGAAGCGTTGCGTCCCACACCCTAAAACAGCAGCCAGAGTGTCCACCTCCTGGACCTCCCCCATAAGGACAAGCACACTCTTACCCACGTTGACTTTCAACCAAGAGATAGCCTAAAAACAAACCAAAACACATCTCAAGTACCTCAACTGGGACACCTCTGCCTCGCAAAAAACAATAGTGTCATCCGCAAAAAGCAAGTGAGAGATCTCCATCTGCTGAATCGAGTCCGGGCTAATCTTGAAACCCAAGTCAACCGCCCTTCTCATCAACCTACTAAGAGCCTCCATAACAATAATAAACAGGAAAGGGGAGAGAGGGTCCCCCTGCCTCAGGCCGCGAGAACTGTCGGAAAACCCCGTAGGAGACCCATTCACCAACACCGAAAATCTGACAGTGGAAACACATGAAACAATCCATTTCCTCCATCTCTCACCAAAGCCCATCCTCTCCGACAGATAGAACAGGAAATTCCAGCAGACATGATCTTAGGCTTTCTCGATATCTAGCTTGCAAAGAACACCAGGAGCCCCACTACAAAGTCTAGAATCCACACATTCACTGGCAATAAGGGCGGAATCCAAGATCTATCTACCCCTAATGAAAGCATTCTGAGACTCGGAAATAACACCATCCAGCACCCCCCTCAATCTAAACGCAAGGACTTTTGCGATGAGCTTATCGATGCACCCAATCAAACTAATTGGTCTGAAGTCCTTGATATTAGAAGCACCACCCTTCTTGGGAATAAGGGCAATAAAGGATGCGTTCAGCGATTTCTCAAACCGCCCCGTGGAATGAAACTCATGAAAGATGCCCATAACCTCGTATCGAACCACCTCCCAGCTCTCCAACAAAAATCTCATAGTGAAACCATCTAGTCCTGGAGACTTATCACCATTACAACTCTTAAGCGCCTTCAGCACCTCCTCCTCCGAAAAAGGACTCTCCAACCCATCCCTTTCCAAGGCAAAAATAGAATCAAAGTGAAGACCATCAAGACGTGGCCTCCATAAAAAAGGCTCAGAATAAAGCCTTTGGTAGAAAGAAACAATAACGCTACGCACCTCCTCCTCTGTGGTCAAGATCGTACCATCCACACACATCCGCCCAATGTGATTAATCCTTCTATGAGCATTAGCAGTTCTATGGAAGAACTTGGTATTCCGGTCTCCCTCTTTGAGCCACAAGGCCCGAGATTTCTGGCGCCACGAAATTTCCTCCAAAACTGCAATCTCCGCACATTCTGTCTGACAAGCTGCTCTCCTACTACGTTGAGATTCAGAAAGAACACCCTCCCCTTCAAATCTATCAATCTCAGCAATATCAGCTAATGCCCTATTCTTCCTCCACTCCAAACTCCCAAACACCTCCTTATTCCACCTTTTGAGATTATTTTTCAGAATTCAAAGTTTTCCTGCAAGAATAAAACTCAACGTACCCACCACTAGGTTCTCCTCCCACCAAGAGTGCACAAATCCCTGAAAATTATACGCTCTAAGCCACATGTTCTCAAATCTGAAAGGAGTGCTACGAGAACTCAAACCTCCACAGTCCAAAACCAAGGGGATGTGGCCCGACGTCACCCTAGCCAACACAGCCTGAACAACATCCGGGAACTTCTCCTCCCAATCACCGGAAATAAAAATCTATCAAGGTGAGAAAAAGTTGGAACTTCCCTTCCACTGGACCAAGTGAAAGAAGCTCCCTCCAGAGGAAGATCAATAAGTTGATGACCATCAATAAAATCAGAAAAATGCATCATAGCCTGAGTCCACGGACCACCTATAGATCTCTCCGCCGAGGACCTAACCATATTAAAATCACCTGCCACACACCAAGGAAGAGACCACCTACCCTTCACCCCACTCAACTCCTCCCACAACCCATCCCTCACATCATCATCGACTGGCCCATACACCCCAGAAAAACCCCAAGTGAAACCATCCTCCTCCATCACAAAGGCACAAGACAGAGAAAAACTCCCCCAACAAACATCTACCTTAGTCATCCATCTCCTATCCCACATAAGAAGAACACCGCCAAATGTCCCAACAGAGTCCAGCGCCTCCCACTCAACAAACCGATTACCCCACAAACTCTTCACCACACGATCAAACATAGAAGCAATCTTTGTTTCTTGAAGACACACCAAATGCAACCCCCATTTCCTCACCGCCATCTTCACCACCTTTCGCTTGCCCGGATCATTAAGACCACAGAAATTCCAAGATAAAAGTCGTAACTTCATGAGGAAACAAATACCCCCATCACCCCCTTGCCCCTCCCTCCACCCTTGCCACTACCCCTCTCTTTCTCCCCCCCAATCAACCTATCATAGTTCACATAAGTGCACAGGTTCCTTAGTTCCCTTTCCCTTCTCCACGGAGAAAGGTTCTTCTTCTTTCTGCTCCTTCTGGAAAATTGAATCATCTCTCCCGCTCTCCCCTCTGCCGTGGCCTGAAGGATTGCTAAGGCCTAATCACGATTGCCCTTGCAAGAAACACCCAACAGATCACTAGTGACCCCAATATTAGCCTTGACCCATTCCTTTCCAGTATCCTCCCTTTCCTGCCTACACACCTTGCTGCCCAATTCCTCTGGATGAATAACAGCCAAGGGATCCACCACCCCCAGATTAGCATGACCCTCCTCCTCCCACAAAATCATATCAAGAGAGCTGCACTGTACCATCACACTCCCATCTTCCTCACCTCCTTTCACCTCCACTACCTCCTCAACATGTGACCTCTAGTCCTCACCATAATCCAACACACCTTCCTGGATGAAAGGGTCCGGGTTACAGTCAGCAATTTGATCAGCAGGCGAAAATCTGTGCTTCTGCAGTTCCTTCACCAAAAGAGAAGCTGATTCGTCGCTAAGGGAAATACGGGTATCTTTGCCCACACAGACAGTCATCATATCCGGCACAGTGCCCTTCAAATAAGTCACTGAGCCACCTTTCAAAGATGAACACAACCCTTCCGTTCCCCCCAAAAGAGGCTTGGCCGGCCTACCCATCTCCTCCCCTGATGAATCATTAAACCGAGAAGAGGAAGAAAAGTCTGAACAAGTCTCAGCAATCCCAACACATAACCGGTCAAAATCCCTATCAACAGACAAACAAACCGTCCCATCCCTTTCTGACGGCCCAACAATGCCACAATCAGAGCCAACCGTAGAGCTTAGCCCATCCACCGAGTCAACCTCAAGAATAGGTGACAACATCTGCTGCCTCCCATCGAGAACCTCCCCTCCTTTACTTCTCAACAACTCACAAGAAGGAGTAGAAGTAGAAAAAGAAACTGATGAGGAGTTCCGAACATGAGAGGGAAAAGACATACCTGGAGACCAATGAGGAACCTGACGGGCAACCCACTTCTGTTTGTCATTTCTGGTCCATTTCGTGTTGGATTGCTTTGAAGAACTCCAAGAGGGGCCATCCTCTTTCATGGACTCATAATCACCATACTCATCATCACCCAAAAACCCGGACTGAAGGAGATCAAATCTGTTACCCGAGAGTCGGTTCTGGCAACACGATCCATGCCGGAAAGTCTTCGGACAAGCGCCATCCCCCTTCGTCATACTTAAACTCACCTTCCCCCGGTTCACCTTTTCTTTCCTCGAACAAGAACGTGAGGCCGATCTTCTTTGTGACGTGTCCAGAGGAGGTTCTTTAAAGGCAAGACTGTGAGCCACTTCTGAAGTTGGATTGGGCTTCCCACCTTAAACAGGAATTGACAAACTATTATTTGGGCCCCATTTAACTGCCCTGTCCTTAGCCATTCTTGGCTTAATCTAAACTGGCCCAGAAGAAACAAGAGGCCCAGAAAACTTTAAACGTCCATCCCGCTTAACACGGCTTTGTGAGCCGCCCCTACCCAGAAGATGGCCCAACTCCACCCCTCTCAAGTGAAGCCCTTCCAGTCACTTTCGAGCCCACGTCATGCGTCCCACTCTGGATTGGCCCACCTACGTCTGGCCCAACTGAAGCTGAATTCAAAAAACCCCGAGGATCACGTGACTCAGCACGTGGTGGAACAGCTGTCTTCCACTCACAACGGGTGTCATTTCTCCTCCAACCACGTGTCACCGAAGCATCCTTCCCACTGCCACTCGCCTTAAGCGCGTGACGACTCAACCGTCCCTGACCTTGACGCCAACTGTTTAGCACCTCCACCTTTTGGAACTCCGGCTTAGATCCAACTCCACCCCCAGACCTACGAGACAGACGGGGAACACTAGCTGATGCCGCCGGTGGTCCTAAATCACCTTTATCGGTACTTGCCCCAGTCAACAGGACCATGGTCAAAGCAATTTCTTCAGATAACGAGATTCTGAAAGCCCACCGACCATCCTCCACTACACTCGTCGGAATCTCACCGCCGTCAGCCACGGTGAGCACAATCCTTTCCGTGTCGCTCATCTCGAAAGCCTCCACATCCCGAAAACCTCCACACACATCTCCAATGGCGACAAAGATCTTCTGGCACCAAAGATGCAACAGCAGGCCATACAGAATAACTCGCCCGCAATTAAACCTCAACCTCAACCCAGAGCACCCGACCCTGTAGTACTAGAGATCGATGAAAAGTTGAGTCTCACCCCAAGATTTCTTACCCTAGTCCAGAACCTTATGAGCCTCCAACACCGACGGGAACCGGAACAGCAAAAGCCCGTCCGGCAGAGAATTAACCCTGACCCCGCCCGAAATCAACCAGGTCTTCATGGCCCAATCTTTCAATATCCTCCAAAGACCCCACCTCTCTGTCAAATCTCCAACAAGGCAGGCCCTAAGAACACGTTCTCAAGAGGAAGTGCTGAGATTATCCACCCTAAACACATGATCCCTAGGAGAAGGGATTCGTTCCACCTCCCCTTTCAGATCCAGACGAGGGAGACGAGCAACCTCCAAATAAGACAACTTCTGACAATCAAGCGTTTTCATGAACAGATCCACAAACCAGCAGACCGACAAAACCAACAGAGGAAAAGAACAAAAGAAAGAGAAGTAGCAGAGGATTTCACCGGAGTTAATGACTCCGGTGACTAGTTGGAGCAGTAGACTCCGGCCGCATCTCTACCACGACAAGCTTCCTCCGGTGGCCTCACTAGTTGGATTGATTGCACTTCGCTCATGTATTCGAAGGTCTTGATTCTAATAACTAAGTGTTCAAGTTGCAAGACAGTCAATTCAGTTTTCAAAATTCTCATAACTTAAAATTTCAGTCACTCCTAGAAGAATAATATATATGTGTGTGTGTGTGTGTGTGTGTGTGTGTGTATAAAGTAGTAGGAAGACCAAAACAATTCATCTAATCAAAGTAGGGTTTTTTGTCTAACCTTCCAGCATCTTCAGGGCTGAACTCCACATCATTGCAACCCAAACTCCGCGCGTACTTCACCATACTCCTTGCCGTCTCGATCACCTCCTCCTTCGTCTTCTTCAGCTTATATTTCATATGAATCTCACTGGTCGCAATAAACGTATGTATCCTCGGCAGCTTCGCATTCTTCACGGCCTCCCACGATGCATCAATGTCGTTCTTGTTACACCTCGCAAGACCGCATATGACCGGCACATAACCGGTGTCGTCAACAGCATTACCGACCTCTTGGGCGATCATTTTCACGGCCTCGAGGTCGTCTTTCGAGGCCGCGGGGAACCCGGCCTCGATGATGTCGACGCGGAGCTTGGCCAGCTGGCGGGCGACGTCGAGCTTCTCCTTGCTGGTCATGGTGGCGCCCGGCGACTGCTCGCCGTCGCGGAGGGTGGTGTCGAAGATGCGGACATAGGAGGGGTCGGAGATTCGGTTGGGGATGTATTCGGGGCGACCACCGCGAGAGGATGAGCAGATTACGGCCCCAAATGAGGCGAATTTTTGGCAGTGAATTGAGGGTTTGAAGTGGAAGAGTGAGCGAATTGGGTTGTTGGAATTGAATTGGGAAATGGTAGTTGTGGGGGTTGGGGAGAAATTAGGGCTTGTGAATATAGACGCCATGGAAGAGATAAAACAGTAGCAGCGAGATGAGAGAGATACTTAAACCCTAGAGAGAGAAAAATGAGGTTTATAAATGAGAGGGAAGGGTAAAATTCAGAGGCCACGTGGGAGACAAGATTTTGCAGACAGGTAAGCGCCATGAAGTCAAGCTCTTGGCGGCTGTTTTCATTTCATTTCATTTCATTTATTTATTTTTATTCTGGAGATCATAATTTATATTTATTTTCTTTATCTTACTTCAAATTTTTTATAATTGAAATGCTTTCAAAAACTTATCAATGCTTTCAAAAACACTATTACATGGCTTTTGTCCACTAATTAATTCACTCATTTTGTATGTATCCCACAATCTAAATTCACTGAGGCTTAGTTTGGTAGAGTGGATATGGGAGGAAAGGAAAGGGAAGGTGATGGAGGATGATTAAAAAACTGTGAGGAAAGGAAAGGGAAGGTGATGGAGGGTGACTAAAAAACTGTGTTTGGGTAAAATGGATGGAAAGGGAGGGGTTTGGAGGGTTATGTATAGCCTTCTACAGTGATTTGTTTAACCTCCCAAAAATGGGAGGAAATGAAAGGAAAAGGCAAGGCAATGGTTGATGATGCCAATTTTACCCTAAAATCAATACACATACAAGATAGCAGTTGCAGAAAGAATGGAGAGACGGCGGGCAACGGCGAACCTGAATTGGAACAGCGGCAATGGCGAACCCGAATTGGAGCAGCGGCGATGGAAACTTGAAAGATATACCGATATACTGATACGGGTTTTGATTTTCTGAACAGTCTGATATACCGATACGGGTTTTGAATTTTTCGATTCTTGCAGACAGAAAGATAAACTGAAATATATGGGTTTGGGTTTTGAACGATAATAGAGATGGAGGCCGAGATTGGGGAGGCTGAAATGATTTGCCCTGGATCGGAACCTTCAAGAACGAAGGTCGCTACAGCTGGATCTGGATCGCCTTTGTTCAAGAAAGAAATTTTTCTTTCCTTTTCTTGTTTCTTTCCTTTTATTATTATTATATATATAATGGAGATGGAGGCGAGATTGGGGAGTTGAAATGATTTGCCTTTTTTTTTTTTTTTTTGTGCGTGCGTGCATGCGCGCAGGTATACTATATATATATATATATATATATATAATAAGGGTATAATAGTAAATTTATTATTATCCTTCCCTTTCCTTTCTTTTCCCAAACATAATTATTATCTTTTCCTTCATTAACCAACCAAACACAATGGAGGGTTAAAATTATCATTCCCTTCCCTTCACTTTCCCTCATAACTAATCTTATCCTCTCCCTTCAAACCCACCGTACCAAACATATCCTAAATACTTTTCATAAATTTTATTTTCTTTATCATAAAAAATGAATGGTGAAAAGTAAAATTTGAAATAAAGATAATACTTAAGAATACAAAAGGACAAATATTGAAATTTTATGTTAGACTTAAAATGGGTTTGATTTGATTCAAATCTAATAAAGTTATTTAATGATAGATATGATAGCATAATGAATTATTTATGAATGGATTTATATCTAGTTTGTTACAGATGGATTTTCGATTGATAACTAGATTTGATAACGCTATAATTTTTTTTAAAATAATTGTAATGCCAAAAGATATATAGCAAAACAATGACACATACACTCATTTTTGTCCTTATAGAAATTTGAACACTAAGCTTTTTACCGTTGTAATGTTGCTCATTCTAAAAGGACCTTGAAATCAGTTTTCATGAACTCTATCTCCGGTCTCCCTAAGGTAGATGGATTTTTTTTATTATTTTCATTATTGTTATTTATTGATAAATTTTCGAAATATGTAGGGCTTATTGCAAAATATTAATACAAAAACAAAAATATTATGTTTTGAAGCATCGAATTGTTTTGGATTTAGAATTGAATCAAGTTTAGTTGAAAATTTGTATTAAATTTTCTACATTCCTAAATCGAAGGTGACTGGCAAAACATAGCATATCATTTATTTCATATTATATTTATAAAAAAAAAATAATATTATTGACGACTTTAATACTTCGACTTAAAACCGACAGAGATAAAAATATGAGGTATTATTATAAAATTTCAAATTAAATAAGCATTATTACTACTCCCATTTTGTTTTCATAAAATACGTCAATTTCCCTTTCTTTATCTTCTCAGTTTCACAACAACATTCATGATACTCAAATATATATATTTGATTGGTACAAAATCTAGAACAAAAACTACAATATTTTTTGATACTTCGTATTTTTTCTTTAAATTCCTATCTTTGTTTTTGTTTATGGAGTTACATAGATCATTAGTTTGATCATTACAGCAACCTATCTAATTATATATAGGAGCTGCAATTAATCTTAAGTATTTATGCCTTATAGAGATGCAATGTAATGTGTATATAAAATACATATACAATTTGATATACACGGTGATTGAAATTTTAATTGCTAACAAAAATATTATATTAAGATGAAACCTAAAAAATAGATTACAACTTTTTAAATAGTTAATTACCTTATATTTTAAAATGAGTTACATTATTTTTGACTCATAAGTAACTAAATAGACTCGACGAAATGATAGGTTTTTATTTATTGAGTAAATACCAGTACTCATCAAAAAAATATTCTACTTATTGCTATACGTAACAACTCTGCATAGATACTTTGGGCGATCATGAATTTTAGCTTAGCTCAAATACTTTGGGCGGAGTAAATAGATCCCACAACAACTAAACCGAATCAACAGTATATAGAAAAAAAAAAAAAAAATCTTGCCAAATTCTTTATTGGTATGTAAAAAAAAAAAAAAAAAAAAAAAAAAAAAAAAAGAAAAAAAAAAAACCCTAAAGAAAAGGAATGGCAAATTCATTAAATCAGAATAAGGCAATTATTCATTGATCGAATTATTTATGTGCAAAATGTGAGCTGAAACTGAGTTCAAGAATTTGAATATTAATATTTACAAAAGAAAAGAAAAGAATTTGAATATTAATATGGGGATAATTATTCCAAATATATTAGTTAATTTGATCATAGTTTACAACATAGGGTTCATTGTCATTGATGCCTGCTTGTTTGGTGCTAATTTCACTTCAATTAAGTTCTTTTAAAAAGATTATTATTATTTTTATTGACACTAATAAGAATAAAATTAATTGAGCTCAAAACTAAGAGTTCGTTTACTAACATTTTCGGTTTCTGTTTTTGCAGTCTCAAGAAAAACATGATTTTACTTTTACGAGTGAAAGTAAAAAAAATAAAAGATGTTTATTAACACTTACTATTTTAAAAGATGTTTATTAACACTTACCAAAATTCATATTTGTTATAAGATGTACACAATATTTTTTAAACTTAAATTACTTTTGTATATATCCTTAGAATCAACCCACTAAAAGTAAAAATAATAAAAAATCAGAACACATGGAATTATTCAATAATGGAATTCCTCAAATTTTATAGGTCATTTTGACGGGGTGTTATCTGAAAATTCAAGAATTTGGATGTTATTTAGTATAATTATGAAAAAATATTAATTTATAGATAATTTGCACAGTAAATAAAATTTATTAGGTAAAGAAAGAAAACAATTGCAGATGCCTCGATAGCCTGCTGTGGTGGGGCATCTTTTTTCTTTCACAATAAGACCTGGACGATTATCCCTACCCTCGGTAGCTTACAAGTTTACGTCCATCCCTGGTCGGAGTTTCCTTTCAATGTCTCCCTTGTACCCGTTACCTGAATTCGCGCAAGCCCTTCTTTCCTCCCGGCTATTCATGCATGAAGATTGCCATATGTATGCTCGACTTCAGTTGCCAGTGCTATAGGTAGGAATTATGGCAGGATCAGTCACCCGGACAAACCAACCCTCCTCCAAGAATAATTGTGATATGCCCTCCTTGCAAGACTAGGATTATCTTTGGTCTTGAGCCTGTAGCCAAGCTATAAAAGCATACCTTGTGGTATATGGTTTGGAAACCAAATGGAATTGTTCCACATGATAGATAGTGAAGGAGGAAGGAGACATTAAAGTCCTCCATGAGTACCCAAGGAGAATGTGAGTAGACAATAGCAAGACCATTAATATCACTCCATAACTTCTTTCTAAGATCTGCAGTGTTAGAGGCATAGATAGCAGAGAATAAAAAGTACACTATCACTAAGTTTTTGAAATTGTAGGACCTTAATTAGGATTGAAAATAATCCAAATCTTCCCTAAAATAGAATGCTGGCAGTTGTTTAATAACTACCAAGATGGGGCAATATTCATTAAAACAACATTGATATTGACTTCTTGGATTTTGGTTTCCAAGATGGCAATAAGCTGTAGGTTAAAATCAAGGATAAGCTTCCTCATTTGGAATAAATAAAAATCCAAGGGAGTATTTATAGAAATAGAAGCGCTTTTTTGAATTAGGTGTGTTTCTTCATTATTTGACACAATCATTTATATGTGTCTCTTCATCACTGGACACCCTTACACTTTTAAGAATTTTTAGGAAGGTTTTCGACCTTTCTATAATTTATATGGTGTCACATTAGTTTTTTTTTTTTTTTTTAGGTATTTTATTGAGAACATAATTTGCAATAAAATAAAGCTTCTCCCCACAAATTCTGGGTTAAAGCAAAACTTATCAATATAACATTCATCATTTCTTTTAAAATATGATTTTTGTATTCAAAGGTGAATAAGGAGCGATAGTTTGGTGAATAATACCATATTCTGAACAAATGTCAGCAAATGGTGCTTCGTATTCACCACCTCTATCACTTCTTAATACCTTAACCTTTTTGCCAAGTTGATTCTCAACCTCAATTTTGTAATGTTTAAATATTTCTAAAGTTTCATCTTTGCTTCGTAGGAAATATACACAACAGTATCTCGTGCAATCATTGATAAAAGTAACGAAATACCCCTTGTCACCTCTAGTTGGCACAAATTTAAGATAATATAATATACTACATCATATCATATTATAAAATTAAAATAATTCAATCAATATTGAATTATATAAATAATTCAATAATCTACTTGTATAACATGCTTCAATTTTACATAATATTGAATACATCAATATTTAGCATA